CCAATAACTTTTCCAGTACTTGAAGTATATTTATTTCCCTTATAATATATATAAAAAAATAATAGTAAATAATTATTATAAGCAAATTATTATATTAGTTTTTAATTTACACTTACCGATTGGCGTTTTAGTTTGTTTTCATTTTTTTTGTGACAAATTGGATTTTTTTGCCTATTTTTAGATTTATTTCTTTTTTCTTTTTCATTTTCAATGAAATTAACTAATTGTTCTCGATTAGTTATTTCATTTAAATGTTTAATGTTATTAACATTAAATGAAGTATTCATAATATAACAAAACACATAATAAAAAAATTGAATCATTTTAAACATTTAATTAATAACTTAATATAATAATAAATTTAATTAATTTTAATTTAGTTTTGTTTATAATTGTTTTTTATTTTATTTAATAGTTTATTTATACTTTTGAATGAAATATTAATAAAAATGTGTTATAAATTTTGAATTAAACTATTTGTAAAAATATTTGAAATCAAGTGATAGAGATTAAGAAAGTTTTTCAGTTGTTTAAGGATTAGTACTATTTTTGATAAGAGTCATGAGTTTATGGGCTGTTTTTGATTTTACTCTCTCAATTATCTACTAAATTAAATTAATTGAAATTTATTAATTAAATTAAAACAAGTAAAAAATTATTTGCTAATCTTTTTAGTATATGTTTAATTATTAAACATTAATTATTATTATTTTTAATTATTAAAAATATTTATTTAATTAATTTTATTATTATTGTGTGATTATTAATATTATAAGTTATAAATATATAGTTAATGAAAACTATAATTATTTTAGATTATGAATTCAAATATTTATTTAATAAACTTTTATATGTTTCATAACATTCAAGTGTGACATCTATTGCATTGAAATTAACATTCATTTAAAAAAGCGATTCATTTAAATGTATAAACAATACAAACATTTGTTTATATATTTAGACAACAATTGAGTTATCATTGAATTGTTTAAACATTTTATTCAATAATAGTTTGCAATTAAAAACAGTGACAACAAGTCATTGAAGACATTAGTATTCAATACAAACTTAACACTGATTTTGGACACAAAAACAATGACAACACTCAAGAAACTAAAGTACAATACAGTGGCCGAAGATATTGTGAACATAACAACAACAGTCGCGACCAGAGATTCATTTGATCGCTTCGGCGATGATTTGGCCGAACTATTGATGAGTTATCTCAACATTGAAGACAAACTCCGCAATCAATTGGTAGCCAAACAATGGCTAAGACTTGTGTTTAACAAACAAACAGATCTTATAATTGATGATAAACTCAATGACTGCTATAAACTGAAGACAATTGTCACGAAATGCCCAAACATTAGAAAAGTTTTTATATCATCAGAAGTCACTGACAATCAATTGGATCTAATCATCAATTATTGTCAAAAATTAAAACATCTAACCATTGATAATGATTTTAATTCAAATAATGAAATGATTGGCAAATTTTTCAACAAATTTGGTCCACAATTGATAACATTTAAGTCTGATTTCAGACCATTGCTGTCATTGTTTGTCAAATATTTTCATACAATTGATGAACAAATTGATACAAAATTAACGACTTTTACATTCAATGAAAATAACTTTTCAAAACTATTCAATGATAATAATGATTGTGTTTTACCGAAAACAATCAATAGATTTCAAACACATTTAATACCAAATTCAATGCCATTGTTTGATAAGTTTTCGGCACAATATCACCGAAATATCAAATCACTTGATTTAAAACTTTGTGGAGATTATGATATTTCAACATTTGATTCATTGACGAAATCATTGTCACAAATGACTGAATTAATACATTTGTCGATATCTATCGATGAAAATAATAACTTATTTATTGGTGAAAACTTTACGGATACTAATTATTTGGCTAAAATACTCAACGGATTGGCCAACAATTGTCGCAAATTAAAGTCACTGAACATTGTTTTGGGATATGAAATGTCTGTTATCACTAATGCCGAGGCAGTGATGGACACAATTGTACGGATGAAACAATTGAAACGATTGTCAATCAATGGTCTGGCATTTGATGTTTTTAGTAATTGTTGGCTAAAATCATTGAAACAATTGACACATTTGTCGATTAACTTGAATGGCTTCTTCATTGTTGGCGACAATTTTTTTGCTGACATTGACAAACATTTACCGCGACTTCAATATTTGGACATTGAAAACGTCAACATCACTAAGTCCACACATAACTGTTTAATACAATTACGGCACTTAAGGACAGTTAAGTATAGTCTATATCGTATTGATGGCCATAAAATCAATATTACAATCGTAAACGGCAGGAATGTTAAGTTTATATGTAAATTATCGGCTAATAATTATTATTTACCATACTATGATGATAATGGTGATAATGAAGATCTATTGGACTATAATGATAATGTCGATAGTGATGATGATGATGACCTGTTCCTATGTGATGGTAATGATGACAATGATGATGACCTATTGCCGTTTGATGGTAATGGTGACAGTGATGATGACCTATTGCCGTTTGATGGTAATGGTGACAGTGATGATGACCTATTGCCGTTTGATGGTAATGGTGATAGTGACGATGACCTGGTGATGCTTGGTTTTAATGATGATGACTTTGATGTTATTTATACTGGTAATTGATTAAGTAATTTTTTCAATAGTTAAAAAAAAATAATTGTATAAAATTTCAATTATAATTTTACGATAATTTGTTGCAAATTACAATATTTTAGAGCCTATTTGAAGTTATTTAAATATATACATATAAAATATATATAGTATATAATATACTTTAATAAAAATTAATAATTAGATTTAAAGTTTTAAATTTTGTATATTACTTTAACCATAATTGTAATTTATTATTAGTAGAATTGTGTTATACTGTATCTCTATATTTTGAATTAAATTCAATTAAATATTTTGTTTAATTAAAAACTTTTTTGTTAATAATACCGGTAATCAATATTTATATTTCTTGATAAAATAGTTTTATATTTAATATTAATCAGTATATAATATTGAATTATATTAATATTAATATTAATTTATATATATATATATATTATTATATACTATATTAATTCATTATTAATAATAATAAAATTTAGTTTAAAACTTAATATACAGTATATATACATGTATATATGTATGTGTATATGTATACATGTATACAATGTATATATATAACTTATTATACTTATATATAAATTATAATTTATTAATGAATTAATATTTTTTATACAAAATAATGTATAAATATTAAACAAAATTGCATTCATATGTGACGTCTATATTATATTGAAGTTATTTAAATGTCTAATCAATTATTGATTTAATATTTGATATTTGTTTACATCAAACACGTGTTTGCATTTGAAAAGTAACAGCAAGTGATTGTAGATAACAGTGAAGACAATGAACACAACAATCGCGACCAGAGATTCATTTGATCGCTTCGGCGATGATTTGGCCGAACTATTGATGAGTTATCTCAACATTGAAGACAAAGTCCGATATGAATTGGTGTCCAAACAATGGCGAAGACTTGTGTTTAATAAAAAAACAGATCTTATAATTAATTATCACAAGACTGATACCAATCAGATGAAAGCAATTCTGATTAAATGTCCAAACATTACAAGAGTTGAGTTTTTTAGTGATCGTAGAGAATATTTAGACGAAGATTGTTTGGATCTACTCATCAATTACTGTCCAAATCTGAAACATCTGAACTTTTTAACACCATTTCATTACATTAACAATACTAATGAAATGTGGGACAAGTTTTACCAGACATTTGGTCCAAAATTGATAACATTTACCACAAATTTCGAGGATATGATGACACAGTTTGTTAGATATTTGCAACAAAATAGTTCACAAATTAGTTTAAAACTAAAAGATTTTCAATGTTTCGACATTTCATTGGTTTTCAATAATAATAATAATAATAATGAATGTGTTTTACCGAAAACAATCAATAGATATGCAATTTGTTTGAACACTAAATCAATTGAATTGTTTTCAAAGTTTTCGACACAATATCATCCAATTATCCAATCACTTGATGTACATCTAAGTGGATATTTCGATGTCTTATCATTTGATTCATTGACCAAATCATTGACACAAATGACTGAATTAATACATTTGTCGCTATTTGTTGGAAAACACGGCTATCTATTCAGTGATGTAACCAATTATATGACACAATTACTGTCCGGTTTGGCCATCAATTGTCGCAAATTGAAATCATTGTTAATTAGTTTAGTAACTGAAATGTCGTCTATAAGTGATATCCAGATAATGTTGGATACAATCGTAAGGATGAAACAATTGAAACGATTGACAATTACTGATATCGACTATCATTTACTATTAACCAGTAGTTTATTAAAACCATTGAAACAATTAACACATTTGACTATTCATTCATTGAGAAAAAATTTCTATTACAACAACATTAATGGCGACAATTTTTTTGCGGACATTGACCGACACTTACCGCGACTACAATATCTGGACATTGATTTTGTGGACATTACAAGTGAAGCGCATAACTGTTTAAGACAATTACCACATTTGCGAACTGTTAAGTATATTGAGTATCGTATTGATGGCATTAAAGTTAATTATAAATTAAATGATACTAAAGTTAAATATATAAAGAGATTATTATTGTGAATCAATTTTTTTTGTATTTATGTAAAGAAAGATTTGATATAATAGTAACTTATATTAATCAGTAATAATAATAGAAATATTATATAGTTTTTTTTTAGTTTTTACAACATATACTACTTTATTTACTACAGTAATAATAACTAAAAGTTTTTCAAAATAAATACTAAATTATATTAAATAACAAACATATAGTAATTTTTATTTATTATAAATTATTTTTACTAACTATTTATAATTTATAACTCGATTTAAATCGATAATTACTTTCCCCGTAACAAAAACTCTGTAAATGCTTGTCTATCGGTGCGATATCGGGTCAGTTCAACGCCTTCCCAGTGATGGACATCCAGTTTGTCGAATATATTAATCATAATCTCTTTGAGAACCGCTTTCTCTTTATCTGTCAAACCATTGATCATAACATCTAAATTAGCATTCAATGCTTTTTCACTATTGATTTAAGATTTTTTAAATAAAAAAATAATAATAATTAAAAGATAAATTTATTTAAAACAAATAAACAAAATTTAATGACTACTACTAACTCTTCCATTCCTATTAAATGTGTATCGATTTCGTTGTGTTGTAACGCATAATAAACCGATAGTTTTGCTATATTCACACCTCTTTCCTTAATATTTAAGATAATTACAATAAATAAATAAATATTATTACCTAATAAGTTGATGACATAATAATAATATAGATTTATAATGAAAATATAAACATACGTTACAATACTTAATAGCTTGTGAACAGGCCTCCCGTAGTTGTACGGGTGCCGCGTGCCAATAGGGAACAATGTTAGTGGGAACCAGTAATCCCATTCCCAGTAGAGCCGCATTTATTATTCCCAAACCTTTTGACTAAAAAAAATAATAATATCGCATTTAAAATTATATATTAATAATATTTTTCTTATATCATATATATAAATCATATTAATTGTTTTGTCGGTAATTAATTGCCTTAAATGCCGGTATATATTGCAGTAATGACTGATCAAATGGTGTGATTCGACAATAGGATAGCACAACATCCAGTTTAATATAACTTTTATCTATTATTTCTCTTTAAAAAATAAAATCATAGATTTAAAAATTATTATTTTTAAATATTACAATATATCTATTGATTTAATATTTTTTTAATAAAAAAATCTATAGTTATTAACACACACTTTAATGTATGCAATGGATAGCCGGTGATACCGATATGCCTGACTTTGCCCTCACGTCTCAATCGGTCGAGTGCTGGCAGTGTTTCATTGATAACTATATCAATAGTATCACAATATTCAACATCGTGTACCTTAAGGGATCAATTATAAAAACAGGATTATTATTATTATTATTATTAAGTTATTATTGAATATTATCAATCGCTAGATTTGTATACAACAACAAAAAATAATATTTTACATGAATTAAGTCCAAGTAATCGACACCAAGTTTTTTGAGACTCAATTCAACCGATTTGACGGCCCAATCGGCCGAATAGTCAAAAGTGCAGTCAGCTTTGCGGCCAACTTTTGTGGCCAAATAGTAGGCATTTCGGGGTATATTTTCTAAGGCCTACCGGTAAATAAATAAAATCATTTACATGAAAATAGATATAACCGATAATAATAAAATACAGTATTATTATTATTATTATTACATTATTAATAATTATCTTTTAACAAACCTTTCCTAAAACAAGTTCCGCTTTACCGCAGCCATAGAAAGGCGATGTGTCGATGAAATTAATGCCCGATCGGACAGTTTGTTGTATAGACTGAACGACCGACTCGTAGCCGCCGAGTAATTGTTGGCCGTCTTCGCTAAATAATAGATCTTTGCTTACATGAGCACCACCTGTCCTTATGATAGCATCAAATTGAAAATAAATAATTATAAATTAATTTATAATTATATTGATATATTTGATACCTAAGCTCAATTTGGACACAAACATATCAGTTGCTCCCAAACGCCTGTATTCTAACTGTTGACATGTTTTCTTGTCTGTCCACTCGGGTATGTATGTCGGCGGTAATGAAGTCATATTTGTTTAACAAATAAATTTGAATTAAAATTTCTAATTTAATTTTTTTAAGTAATAATTAATTAATTAACAATATTATATAATATTAATACAAGTTTTCAACTAAAATAAAAAATAAATATAATTTAACACTGTTTCTAATTAAAAAAATATTATCATAAATATAAGATTAAAATTTGATATTTGTATTTAATTAATACATATACTTGTTAATATTTTTTTTAAATCTTATATTTAATAAAATATTAAATAAAATTTAGTTTAAAAATATTAATCAGACGTTTTAAAATATTTGTTTACAAAAACTTGATTTTCGCAATTTTGATTAGATAAACAAATTCAATATTATGTAGTTGTATAATATATTGAATGTCACATTTAATAAGTGATATTATATTAAAAAAAGTTTAATTAATTGCAAAATGTGAATAATTGAAAAAAATTATAGTTAGAAATAAATATATAACTTGTCATAATTTATTTTATAATTTGAAAATATATATTTAAAAAAAAATATTTAAGAATAAAAAGTTTTATAAAAATATTAGATAATTCTATTACAATTAATTAATTACAATATAATTATTATAGTACTTTTGAATAACATTTTATAATTATTAATTTTTTATAAAATATTTTATATTATAAATGTAACTAAACTTTTCATTGATTAGATTACTCAACTAATTTTATCAATCTCAAATCATTTAATGCATTTATTTTGTAGCAGTGTAAAATAATTATGTAATGTTTTAAATTAATCATAAATTATTTTTAAAAAAAATAAAATATTATTTATTATATTACATAGTTAATTAAAGTTTATAAACCTTTTAATTATATTGTTAGTTAAATAATTAATTAATTGTAATAGAATTTATTATAAACATATGATAATTCATAAAGTCTTTAAATAAAAAAAATATAATTTTATTTTGCATTATTGACAGGACGTCTAGGTTTGGCAATCGACAGTTCATCACATATACGATCCCTAATAGACCGCAAATTATCCAAAGACTGCATCCAATCTGTTTCGGTCAACAAATTGACGGCTTCTTCGCTAATGTCGTCAACGATCAGTAAAGCGACGTACAATTGATTGGCTGTTTGGACACGAATTCTTGGAAAAGCGTGACATAAAAATATCACCAAATAAGACATCGACTGTTTGAACGATTCGTCGTTTTGAAGAGCCGCACAAAATACGTCGATAGCGGCCACCAGTTTCTGACAGTCTTTTACCCGACGGACACAATTCCAAGTAATTGTCAACAATTTGGTCCGTAATTCATCGGATGTCTGATACGATGTCAACAAAAAATGAGCTAATTTTATACAACACAGCGACAGGTTGTCGACGCTTAGGTTTTCTTCGTACAGATCGAGAAACACTTTAAATACCGATTCATTCAATGACTTTAATTCGTGTTTCAAAACATTTCGGACGTAAAGTTCGTTAGGATTGGCCACACATTTGACCAAACCTTTCCACGCGCTATAAGTAAATGTGTCGACATTTAATAGCTGTACAAACGGTTTCCATTCATCTACCCGTTCATCGCCAGAGCTCTCAAAAAATGTTTGAATCAGTTGTCTATCAATTTGATTGATATCTCTGTTTAAAACAATCTCTTTGAATGCATTAGTGGCTAAGTTTCTCTCCTTTTTCCAGAGACTCAAGCACTGGGAAGTCAATAACTTCAAGATTTCAATAATTTGCTGGTCTGTCATCTCATTAATAAATAAAAGCGACGCTTCGATAGCTGCAAACCGGACATTACCTCCGACATCACCCTTTTGATCCTTAGTTCGGTCGTCTAATGCACGACAAAGACATTCAACAATTTGCAGTTTCTTTTGTTCACTAATTGGTAAGTATTTCTGTGACATTGTAACTAAAGTCAATACTTCAGAGGCACGCGAACCGCACATAAAGTCATCGGATTTGATGTGAGAAACAATTGTATCGAAACACTGGTCATAGTATTGTACATCAATAACATCGGTAGTCATTAGTCGCAAACATTCCGATACACCAATTCTTGCACTCTCTTTGACTGACATCAAGTGATTTGTTAATAAATCCAAAAATTTTTTCAACAATTCGGGTCTATTAAGCAAATAGTTTTGACAGAATATGGGAACAGCTGTGACGGCATCTTTGCGTGTCTTAACATCTTCGCTGTCAATCGAGTGCTGTAATACATCAATCCATACGTCGAAAACCTTTTGATCGCCATTTATCGGTAGCAAAACTGACGAACATTTTTCAATTAAGACACTGAGCGCTTGTTTCATGAATTCGCCGCCAATTCCTCGCAACAGATTCTTCTCCGTCAAAGTAATAGCAATTGACTCCATTTGGCCGATAAATTCGGCATTAATTTTATCAGCGATAACACAGTGGCTAATGATGTGAGCGATGGATAATATAGATCCGTGTCTTGAATTCAAATCTAATGATGTACTCATTGATAGCAAACGCGGAAAATGTTTGTTCATATCAATGACAGTCGACAGTCTGCCCAATGATTGGGCCGCTATTTCTCGTATATCTCTGTCCCAGTGATGACATTTGTTGACCAATTGTTCGACAAGAAAATCTCCAAACTCTGGTTTTTCGGCCAATTTTAAGGCAATGCTTAGATAACAGTGACTTCTTATGGATAGAGAATGAAAGTCTGTTAACACCAGAACTTCTAATCCGTGCGGAAACACTTGGGTTCGTCCGACCAGCTCTTGAATTGTCGCCGAAGCCGCTCTTCGGCAGTTAATTTCTCGATCAAAACACACGACACAAACCAATGTTGGCCCTAATTTTTTAACATATTGTTGAATCACTTGAGAGTCATAGGCGCGAGATAGTGACCAACAAACATAACACGCGGCGTCTCTAACATTGGATCCAATGCTAAATGAACCTAATTATCACAAATATTAAATATTGTATATATAAACCTTTTTTAAAATAAAAATACAATTTATTTACAAACCTTTGACTTCATCAAAAAGTAGTGCTCTTTGAACGACATCAACAATATCTGACAATTGATCCGGTAGTATAAGACCTCGTCGGGACAATTCAGCCAAAGCCATACAACAGCCGTGCCATGAGTTGTCCGACTCTTTCCATTCGCACAGTTGCAGCACATGTGACACCACTTCAGTTGCTAACTCTTTGGGCAAACGGTTCGTAAGTCTCGCCAAATATTTGGCGGCAGAATAGCGAACAATAGTGTTCTTGTCGTGCAATGAGTTCAACAACGAGTCTATTATCACTTCTATCTGTTCAGGAATATCACTGAAATCGGAGTCATCTTCATTGTCATCAATGGTATCGCCCTTCTCGTCAACCTTAACTTTCGGTTGCTTTTCATCTCCAATTTGAATCGTAATGTTATCGGTCAACACCCGATAGCCACGTTTGTACCGCCATTTGGCTATACGGGGTGTCAACAATGACAAAGTGGAGCGACCAATCAATTTGACTTTCCATTTGGCCATCAATAGATCGCCACTTGTGTCCAATTTGACACCGATTTCGATGACTCGTTCAGCAAATTGTCTAATATTCTTTCGGTCGGCTATTTTGAAGAGAACTGCAACAGACATTAGATAACCAAAGTTTGTGGAAATATGTGGCAAACAATCGGTCACAAAACGACTCATGTATTGATCAACAATATCGGGTCGCGACAAGAAATTTGCCGCCAAAATGGCAGCCGAATCGCGAGATTTGTCAGTCTTTTCGAGATAATTATCGATCAATGCATAGACTCTGTCGCTAACAGTTAATTGATTTGGATTATCATCGGATGAATTACTGTCAAATTTTCTCAAATGAAATGGTGTTTTCACGGCCATCGACAGCCACAACAGTATGGCTGCCCGTGTAGGCCACGAATTAGTGTCTTCTGGCGACTGTCGTTCGCACCAATCGATCAGTTTCGGTAGCCAAACAACTTCAGTAGGAAAGTAACGGCCAATAGTTTTCGGACCGATACAGGCGACGAGTCGCTGAACAAAACGAAAACATGTGTGAAATACGGGTCCATTGAATTGGGTATCAGTCGTGACAGCAATGATTGAATCCAAGAATTGTTTGACATGTGATTCAATGAGTTTCGGATTTGTCTGCCATTTGTCGATCAGATATATAAACCGTTCGTTCAAATGCTCGACACGCGACTCGACATTGACTTTACTATCGCCGGACAAGTGGCCAGAAAGCGATGACAACTCTCCAATCAATTTCATACATTCGCGAGAGTCTTCTTCAAACGTGTCCATCGAATAGACCAAGTCTTGGGATCAGTTAATTAACATTAAAAAAATACAATCATTTCATCTGTAAAGTCAACGGCAGTTGTAGTTCTTACCGGTATTGTCTTCATCGTTGTCATTGTCTTTATTGGCGTTAAATTGATTTTCATTCGACATTTCCATCGATGACATGTCCATCAATTGGTTATATCAATCAAATGGTTAATCAATTATCATTAAATCAATTGTTTGTCAAAACATGTGTTCAATAGAAAACAAATAACAAAACAAAAAGTTTTTTTTATTATTATTGCTGTCAAACATAATCACTGTTTTTATATAACAACGCATGCGCTGTAAGTATAAATAAAGTTATATAAATATGAATACAGTCTATACTTGGTTTAAGATATTTTACATGAAAATAATATTATAAAAAAAACAATAATAATTAAATTATTGATTTAATTTACAAATTAATAGGTAAAATTAAAATTAATTATTTCAGCATTTAATTTAGTTATTTGTAATAATTTTTTAGTTAAAAAAATATTGAATTTTTAGTTATTATTTTTTATTTATATCTAATCATTGACTGTAGTTATAATGTTATGACAACATTGAATATAATGATTACACGTGTATTGAAATCATTATTACTGTCAACACATTTGTATTGTTGTTGTTGTTGTTGACGACACTATCGGATGATTATCTCTCGGATGTGTTGACCACTGACCAGAATGTCCAGTAATATTCAATACAGTATACTATTGCCCACATATAATGAACGTCAAAATTTGCCGATAATTGTTTGGCTAATCAATAAATATCTCGAGGAATGGTATGATATTTCCTATATATAAAAATCTGATGAAATGTCATCTAATTATTAACTAATTAATTGATTGTCTGTTTGTCTGCTAATTATGATTATTAACAAACAGTGGCTACAAATATGAGATCATTATCATTGACGATAACTCGCCCGACGGTACTCTAGAGGCGGCCAAACAATTGCAGAGAATCTACGGCGACGATCGCATTGTGTTGAGACCGCGCGAAAAGAAGTTAGGTCTGGGAACGGCTTATTTGCATGGATTACAACACTCGAGAGGACAGTTTGTCATAATCATGGACTCGGATCTATCGCATCACGTAAGTGACCAACTATTGTGATAGCCTTTTCAAGTTTTATCGAAATTAGTTATTGAAAATGTTTTATAATGATATTTGGTGTTAATATTTTAGCCAAAGTTCATACCAAAGTTTATCGAGAAACAGTTGGCTACTGGTGCCGATGTGGTCACTGGCACCCGATACGCGGGCGATGGCGGTGTATACGGTTGGGACTTTCGACGCAAACTGATCTCTCGCGGTGCCAACTATTTGACTCAAGTACTCCTAAGGCCCGGCGTTTCCGATTTGACCGGCAGTTTTCGGCTTTACAAACGCCAAGCGCTGGAAAAACTTGTCGAAAGTTGTGTCAGCAAAGGCTACGTATTTCAGATGGAAATGATGGTCAGGGCTAACAGTCTGGGCTATCGGATCAGCGAAGTGCCCATCAGTTTTGTTGACCGCGTTTACGGTGAGTCCAAAATGGGTGCGATGGAGATCATCGGATTTGCTAAGGGTTTGCTCTACTTGTTTGCCACCGTTTGATAACAAAAAATTAATTTAATAAAAATATATAATAAACAGTAATATAATTTGTAAAATTCATAAATTATACGAAATAAATTTTTTATATTTAATATAACTTTTTTAATGTATGGTAATCACAGATATTTTTTTAAATTGTAAAAAATCAACAATAAATATACATATATAAAAATAATAATTATTACAACGATTGTAAGTATTTTCTGTGATTTATTTATTCAATAATTCTCGTGAAAACTAACGAAAATAGACTATAATTATTAGCAATTGTTTAAAAAATAAGTTTAAAATGTCAGTCAGTCATCAAATCAATTGAGATAATGAAATTAAATATTAATAGGTTTTGTATGATTATCATAGAAAATAATATTAATATAATATAAATATATTATATTCTTAAAAATATACAGATTATCATCTCTTTCGGTGACTTTAATACTATCAACCATTTTGTATGAAAAACGGAAACGACAACCACAACAACGGCCGTTGATGTCATTCAATGCAAATGTTAACCGTATCCTCAAAACTGTTTATATGGATACACCGACACCAATGCAAGCCGTTGTGTCGGTAAAGATGGCTAATTACAATTATCCCACAGATTTTCTGGGCGAAGGAACGGGAGTTGTGGTCAACAATCAATTCAATTTTATTGTCACCAATTATCATGTGGTCGCCGGCAATAGCAAAGCAATGATCAAATTTTACGACACATACGATGCAGATCTCATCGAAGGCCAACGGTTTGGTTCAAGTGTTGGACAGGTTATGGGTGATGTTGTCTACGTTGAACCACAGCTTGATTTATCGCTTATTAAGCTCCGAGAGGTCAAATCCAATCGACTAACACAATTGATTCCGGCAACACGTGAACCGATTATTGGCGAACCGGTTGCACTGATGGGAAATGCTGACAACTTTTTTATCTCATGGGATGGATTTGTTATGACATACAATCACTCCAATAATATGAATTGTAGTGATTATTACATAATGGCATTCAGTCTCGATCCGAGCAAATTGTTTGTATATCACACCTGTACGTCAACCTCTGGTTTTTCTGGCAGTCCGCTTCTCAATAGCGAACTCAATATATCGGGCGTACATTTCGGACAAAATTATGTACCACTTTATCGTGTGGCTACTACTAGTCTAAATTTAATAGGTTAGTTACATAATTTAAACATTTTTTTTCATCTCTCTTTAACACATACACACACATACACACACATACACACACATACACATACACATACACATACACATACACATACACATACACATACACATACACATACACATACACATACACATACACATACACACATTGATGTTTTGCACATACACACATTAATTATATATCAATTAGACTTTGGTCTCAGAGGATACAAGTATTTCCTGTCACAAAACAATACGACAAATAAAAATATACGCGAAATGAAGTATACAATTGAAAACATTTATACATTGGGTGTTATCATCACTAAAAACTTATTGTCCGACGAATTCATTATTGAGGACACATTGCCTGAAACACAAGCAATGTATGTAATATCGTGTATCTGAGTGTTGTTGTTGTTGTAAAGGGTTTAACCGAAAATTTATTTGATTTAATTATTGTAGTGAAGTATTGAAAAATGGTGACATAATTGTAGAGACAAATGGACATAAATTGACTGATATTCGCCAATTAATCGACTTTCTCGATGATTGTGATGACGATAGTGTTATTCAGTTAATGGTTAGACGCAATAGTAATGAGACGATTGCTGTCACAGTTACGGAAGTTTCCGATGAATTTCCTATTGTTATCTAAATATAATATAAAACTTTATTCTCCAATTGTTTTGGCCAAAAAATTTTAAGACTAACAAAAATAAAAACAATAAATTGTAAAATTATTTATCAATACATTTTATTATTTAGAATATATTATAAATTAATAAGTTAACAGAATATATTCAAATATTTTTTTAAAAAATCTTTTTATATTGCAATTTCACTGAGATGTTTGAATATATATATAGTTGGTACTATTATTATATTACAAATAGTTTTAAATAAACAAGTTATTTATAGATTAATATGTTTAATTGAAGTTTTATTATAACAAAAACAATTAATTAAATACAATTTATAATATTGATATAATAGATTAAAATAAACAAAAATTTATGTTAGATAATTAAATTATTATTATTAAAAGTTATAATTTATAGCATTTAACTTTATAGCTTTTAGTGCATAATAGTGTATAATGTCTACGCTGTACATAATTTTAATTTTATTGACAAATATTATATACTCACAAAAAACACTAACAAAAAATAATTACAGTAAATAAAATACTAATTATTATTGTTTGTAAATTACTGATATAATCCGTAACTTTTACACTATATGTACTCAAATTTTTATTGATTTATATTTATATATGAAACTTTATATATAAATTTATTACCTATAATGTAAAATCTATCTCATACCACCCAAATTATACATAATGCCGCCATCGATAACCAAATTGGCACCGGTAACAAAAGTGGCCGCACTCGATGCCAAATACACTACACTTTCGGCCACATCCCGGGGCTGTGCGATACGTTTCATTGGTGTCCTATCGATGGCCACTTTTAACATTTGTTCCATGTGTTCAGTTTTTTCTACCAAATTGGTTTCCGTAATACCCGGACTACGTATATACAGTATTATTATATATATTAATATATGTATTAATAAATTAATTTTAATATAATTTAATAGTATAGTAAAGAAAATAAAATAACTGCAATGAAAAAGTAATGTGATTTAAAAATAAATAAATATTTATCTTATATTACTTGACAGTATTGACCCGTATAGTGGGCCCCAACTCCAGTGCCAACACACGAGTCATCATATCGATGCCTACTTTCGACACTTCATAGGCTAACTGTGTTTTCATCTAAATTATATATATATATATAATTAATTATTATTATTATTTACTTATATTATCAATACTAAAAAATATAAATTAATATTACTGTAATTGTATTAATACTGTATAAACTAAAAATATTAACATTAATAACTTACCGGCACTTGTGACAGATTGCTAGATATATTTATAATAGTGCCGTTAGTTTTATTTAAATATGGAACCGATAGGTGACTTAACTCGACAAACGGGTGCAGATTAACACTCATTATTTTGTCAAACACTGGCATAAACTCTTTGTCTGTAACGCCGGCCGACAGTGCAATACCAGCGTTGTTGACCAACACATCTAACTGTCCAAATGTTTTGATGGTTTCATCCAATAGTCTCTGCAAATCTTCACTTTTACTGACATCTCCGACAACTTGTAACGGCTATACATAATAATAGTAATAAACAAAATTATAAATTAAATAAACTTATTTTATTGATAATTATTAAAATTTTTTATTATTTTCTTTATTAACAAACCTTTAACTTTTCCGGTGATAACTGTTGGCATTCATTGGCCACTTTCAGGATTTCGGTCTCTTTTCTACCGGTGATCACCACATGAGCGCCCAGTTGTGCAAAAAGTTTGGCAATACCGGCACCAATACCACTGCTTGAACCGGTAGTCAAAACTACTTTTCCCTTAAAATTTCGCGGATCATTCATTTTTTGTTATTGTTTGTTGAGAATCCAATACTTTATAAAATTATTATCAGTGAATAACAAATATAATAATATAATTTAGAATATTTTTGTTTAATAAAACTTTTTTATTAATAAATAATTTTTTTTATCATTTCAGTCTATTTATATATATCCCACTGTAAAAAATCAATAATTATTACGACTATATAATATTATATAAGTTAATTATATTATACTATATTTAGTAGTACTAGGTTAGTACATAGCACTTGATTATTATTTTAATATTCACTCGACCTTGGACATATCTACAATATTGTTACTAGTGCAATTTAGGTGCTATGTACTATAATAGTTAGTTCAATATTAGTGATTTTATATTTTTACAATATTTAAAACATAACTTTCAATAATATCATAATATATAAAAGTGTATTTTTATTTCAACTCATTAAATAAAGAATATAAATAATTTTTATGTTTGTTTTTGTTTGTTTTTACTGTTATACAAATTAAATAATTTTAAGAGTTTAACATTGACCTTTTAAAGTGTAATTATTTTATACTTTATAAAATTGTCTATATTATATAATGTTATTATATATTTACAGATAAAAAATTTCAATAAAATACTTTTACTATAAAATGCCATATAAAATATGTTTTTTTTAAATTTTGTTTTATATTTAATAGTATGATAATTAAAATTAATTTAACATTACAATTGATATACTACAGTACAGTAGTTTTTATTAATATAAATATTTTTAATTATTATACAGTACTTATGGTTATCAATGATTCTTATTATAGTATTATTATCAATTAATACATTTTAGAAAATAGAAATTTCATAATCTTAACTTAATTTAGTTAGTTTACTAGTTAGTTAGTAAACTTAGTTTATCTTAACATAAACTTAACTTAAAACTTAATTAATAATAATAATTATAAAACTTAAATTATAAAATTGATTAATTTTTAATCATAACTTTGAATATACAGTATATATCTTTATATTATATTATATAATATATTATATTTATCATTTTGATGCTTAATTTGTATACCTATATATTCAGTAATCTTTTTATTGTAAATTACATAATATAAATTATCAAAAATTATCTAATAATTTACATGTAAATTTTAATGCACTGATAAAAGTTAATTAATAAATATACTAAATACAAGTTAGCATATTAAAATGTAAGTTTACTATAGTTACGTTATTACTATTACTACATAATATATTTATAAAATTTCATATCTAAAAAATACACTATAAAAAACAAGTTTTAATTTTAATAATAATCGTAAACATAATTAATCATTAAAAAAATTCCACTATTTTACTAAAATATATTCACTAATGTATATATTCGTATATTCGTATATTAAAAATTTTAAATTAGTTAATAAAACCTATGTTTTCTATTTTTTACACTATTATCAAGTTAAATTAAGATAACTTGTCAAGGATAACTTGTCAATTATTTCATAGCTTTTAATAATAATAATAATAAAATAAAGTTTATTTTATATTTATATTATAAGATATAAATGTGTACATTTTGATAATGTATGTACTGCAATTTGCATTATCAAAATGTACACATTTATATCATTAAATATATATATAAAAAAAACTTTATTTTTACAAATAGCTAAATTACATACATGTACATTACAGAAAAACATCAAATATCAATATATTATTGTAAACATAATTTTGACCCAAACGTACTTAAAAACGAGTCAATTATTTGTTTGAAGCATTTTTTTTTGCTGACTATATAAACAAAACACACGAATAAAATGTTATTTAATTCAAAATAATATAATTAGTTAACTAAATGAAAACTAAATTTTAAACAATATTTTATTAGAATTTAACAAAAAAAAAAATTTGTTAGCAATGTTTTTATTGGCAATAATTTATTTGATTTTTTCAAATGCTATTACTCTACTGTCAGTTATAACTGTATATTTTGTGATAACCAAAATCTATAGTGATTACCAGATTCGTGCCAAATTGCCTCCCGGTCCACGAAATTGGCCACTTATTGGCAACTTGGAGTCGATTTCGGGTGCCACTTCAAAAACGTTTGTCGAGTGGTCTAAAAAATATGGACCAGTCATTGGGTATATTGATGGCCATTAAATTTCCATTTAAAAAAAATAACTTATTTTATTTTATTTAGTTTACAAATGGGTTCATCTCCAACTATAATACTCAATGACTGGCCGTCCATTAAGGATGCCTTTTCTCAGGACACAACACTTGCCCGACCGAAAGATAATATATTTTCAATAATAGGACCCGAAGGTTAGCTAAAATACCTGTAGATTATTGTGTGTAAACTTTAGCTATTTGATTATTTAAACAATATTATATATAATATATATATACTGTATATACTAAATATTGTATAATAGGTTTTGGATCAATGAGTGGACAGGTATGGAGAGAGCAGAGAAGATTTTTGTTGCATAAGTTTAGAGATCTGGGTTTTGGAAAGACATCGATGGAAGACCATATCATCGACGAGATTAACCATTTATCTGAACTAATTGACAAAACATTGGACACCGAAACAAATACAAGAGAACTGTTCGGTATTAGTGTATCCAATAATGTCAGCTCTTTTATATTTGGCCGACGACTCGACTATTTGGATAATAATAAGAAAGTCATCGACGAATTGGTTAAACCTAATCCCAGCCTATCTTTGACCAGTGCTTTCGCCCAATTCCCGGCAGTTTCCAGATTTGTCGTCAATAAACTAAGCTTTTTGTTACCACAATCTAATAATGATTTACAAAAACTATTTGACAATATTTGTAATATAATGAAGTAATTAAAAACAAAAAATTATTTATTTATTTTATATATAAAAAAATTTCATACCAAAAGTAATTTAGTAATAATAACAATACTAAAAAATAATAATTACTTTTTTTATTACTATATTTAGAAATGAAATCAAATCACACGAAAAAACATTGGATTCAAATAATTTTCGCGATTATATGGACGCGTTTATCACTGAATCTCAAAAAAATGCTAACGACTCTAAAACATCATTTAATAGTTAGTATAATAATTAATAAATATATTTATATAAACAAAAACTAATTAAAACACAAAATAATTTATGTGTATATGTTTTTATTAAAATAAAATAAATCAGATCAAATGTTAGTAGCAAACAGCATGAATTTATACGGTGCAGGAACTGCTACAACAACACAGACACTTGAATGGTCACTACTAGTGTTGGCCACACACCCGGAGGTTCAGCTGAAAATCCAGAAAGAAATTGACGACATTATCGGCAGATATGAGATACCAAAGTATGGCTATAGAAATCAGATGCCATATCTTCAGGCATTCATCTATGAAGTGTTGAGATACAGATCAATCGTACCAATTGATTTGCCCCGAAGGTACCAACCAATTGATCAATTTTTAAAATTCCGTATAAATTAAAATTATTTTGAATAAAAAAAATAAAAATAAATAAAATTTATTTTTATCTCAACATTTATTTCAGTACAAGTGAAGACACTATAATCGGTGGACATAAAATACCGAAAGGTACACAAATATTGGCCAACTTTTGGGCCATCGATAACGATCCGAAACTATGGGACAATCCGCAAGTGTTTAAACCCGAAAGGTTTCTCAAAGATAACGGAACAACTTTCTTCAGACCCGACCATTTCATACCATTTTCTTATGGTATTTCATTTGATTTCATTTTTTGTTTTTAATTTCTATATTTAATTATACGATTTTAGTTAACTAAAAAAAAATTAATAAAAACATTATAAATAATATTTAATTATTAGGCAAGAGGTCGTGTCCGGGAGAGGTATTAGGATTGGCAGAGATATTCCTCTACATCGTATCATTGCTACAAAAATATGATATCAAACCCACCAAAAATACGGACACAACACTTGATTATAAGATTCAGTTTTCGGTTATACCTAAGGCTGAACCCGTTGTTTGCTTTAATAAACGTGTTTAGGAGTAATAATAATAATAATAATAATAATAATATATTCGTAATCATTATTTTATTTGTTGTCAAAAATTTATTTTAATATACTGTAAACATACCAATTATATATCATATAGCTATTAATTTTAAAAAAAAATATTTAGAATTGATAATTAAATTGATAATTAATATAAATATTTAAAAATAAATGTATTTATCGTTTCTACAAAATAAATTAATGTATTTAAAACCTAGGTCCTATTTTAATGATTTTTTTTGATAACCCAATATTATTAATATTAAAAATTAGTTTTTAAATTAAAGATTACAAACATAAAGACTAATAAAATAAATTGCAAATAATTTATAATACAATGTCTTAGTAATAATTAAATAAAATAAAATTACATATTTAAGTAAATAATACTGTATTTAAATTTACATAAAATAAAACAAACAAAAAATCAATAAATAAATAAAATAAATAATACTAATAACTATGGTTTAACAAACATAAAAAAGATAACAATTTTGAATGCAATCACATTTAAAATATAAAAAATAACAAAACAAAAAGAAATCATATTAAGAAAAATAATGGAAATAATAGCGACGGCACCGGTAGCTGACCAGTGAGTCAGTCAAAAAAAAAGATGAGTGTTTCGCGTCTTAACAGTGCTCTATATCGCTGGCAATGGCCGACATCATCGCCTCCTTTAGCTTATCGGTCGACGACAACGAGTTGGGCTGTGTTTTGACCGCCAAATCTTTGATCCACTTCTCTATCATCGATGTGTCAAACTTGAGAGCAGTAGTATTAGTAGTTGTTGTGGCCTTCATTTCCGTCGCACGCTGTGACTGTTGTCTACCACTGTCGATACCAACAGCACAGGTAACAGGTTTACTGCGACCACTACTGGACATCTTATTCAGTGTACGACCGCTACGGTCAGTGGATGAGCCGATGCGCATAACTGGCCGCTTCTGTTGTTGCTGATGTCGTTGACCAGTACTACCACCGTTTCGGATACCGGTTCCCGGTTTAGTGTAGTTTTCTGTGGCTAACGACCTTTTGTTGGGAACATTAGGACAGACCTCTTCATGTCGGCGAACATTACGTAAGGCAATACCAGTGGCCGTACATCGGGTGCCATCAAAGAATCGACACTTGAGTCGTATATTCATCAGCCAGTTATGGATATCTCGTTGAAGGTATCGACACTGTTTCATATCAAACTTGCAGCCATCCACTGGACAGGTAGACGAGTGCTGAGCTCTGGCTGTCATACATGCATAGCAGGCACTGTGACCACAACCGGACAGTGAGACGCCGTCGTCCAGCAGTAAACGACAGAAACAGCATTTGGCGTCGAACGGCACCCGTAGACCATTGGCACCGGTAGTGATTAGCAACAGATCAAAACCCATTCAGAGATATCCAGTGTTTTGTGTCAATTGAATACAAGAGAAATACAACCGAAAAAAAATACTAACAAACAGTTTGTTTGGCAAAACTGAATGACTGACCAGTAATTCTGTTAATGATTACAATTATTATTATCGTTATAATTATGATAATTATGTTTTATTTTTTTGAAAAATTAAATTCTTTAATTTTTTTTTGTTTGTTCACGAGATTCAATAAATTGTAATTTTTATTACAATTCATTTTCAACTTTTATTATATTAATGTACAGTATGTTAATAATGAATTTTCTAATAAATACTTTATTATATATTTTTGCAATACTTTTAAGGTTGTTGTTGTTGTTTTAAAAGTTGGAAAAATTAACAATAAAATTATAATTATAAACCTAAGATTAGTTTTCTAGTTTTCTAGACAGCCAGTTAAAAACATGTAATTAATTTTAATCAATAATTATCAATTGAATAATTGTTATTTAACAGTAATTTAAGCACAAAAAACATAACAACATTTAGACCAATCACTTCCTGAACATTGGACCCAAAAATCAGAAAAAAATAAAAGTATAGTACAGTATATCCAAAAATCTATTTAAAAATTAATTAAAATTTAAAAAACCCAATCAAATCTATATATATATATATATAAAATTTATTAGATAATAATATTGGTATCTTTGATTTTATCATATGTTAGAAATTATATGTTTTAGATGACTAACACACACACACACACACACACACACACACACACACACACACACACACACACACACACACACACACACACACACACACACACACACACACACACACACACACACACACACACACACACACACACATTACATTACAATTTAATGCACTTTTATTTAGATAATTTGAACGGTAATAATAATAACCGAGAATTGTGGAAATTTTTAAAACTATGTAATACTACTAATACTAATAATTAATATTATTTTTAAATTTATAACTTATAACTGTATATACAGTATATATTTTATAATAAAGTAATAGTTATACACTTTTTAACTTAAAAAATACATCAAATTCAATATAAGCACAAAATCATTTACAAACAAACAAAAAATTAATACATTTTTTGTTTGTTTGTAAATGATTTTGTGCTTATATAATATAAGTTATATTCATACAAATATTGTTTATACACTAATGGTCTCATTGTCTATAAAAAAAACTATAAAAGTTGAGATGACTATCGCATAGCGAGCGGAAAGTCAACTCAATATCGGGGAATCGGCGGTAAAAGTAATTAACGTAAATACACGCGTTAAGTAAAAAACGGTTTTATTTAGTTATTAAAATATATACGACATGTCGGTGTGAGAGCTAAGAGACAACTACTGGTGCGGAACCGGTAGAGTAGTTGTTATATACCACGCTTGCGACTGAATTGTAGTGTCGAGCGCCTGCTATCGACACACTCCCCGGCCGCGAGATTCCGGCCATAGGTCGGAACGGATGACCAATGCGATGCTTGTGTTTCGGCGGGCAGTAATCGATGTCAGGATCGTTGGCGTTGGATATGTTTTCGGTGATCAGCGAATTATGATAGCGATGATAGCGTAAGAGATGCGATGAATGAGAAACAAACGTTTTCGTGACATTAACATCTCTTACGTTCAATTGTTTTATACGAAAGAGTTCGGCACCGATCTGACCAACTATACGGTAGGGTCCGTGTATGTACTGATCGTTTTGCGTAGAGTGAAGGTCTGGTATGTGATACTTAACGACATCACCGATACGTAAATCAGATGAGCGATGCTTATCGTCGTGTCTGACATTGCGTATGATCGGCGGTTTACGATATCGTTTAGTAACGTTTTGTCGGCATCGGTGGCATCTCTTAATAAAGTTGGAGATATCGGTTCTCAGCGTTGGCCACCAATGTTTCGATGAAACCAATCGAATGGTATGATCTAAAAGGTGATGTTTGGCGTCGTTATGAGACTCTTTTATTACGTTAGCTACCATCGATGGCGGTACAACTAATTTAGTGACACCACGATATGCTACGTGTATGAGTCCGTCGATTATCTTTGGTTTTCGTATTTTATACGCTTTGATTTCGTGTTGATTGTCGTAAAAGCTGTTATTAGCGTTGAGATTTCGGTGTTCGTCGGCAGCTGATGTCAATTGAGTAAACGACGGTCGGATGAGTTTATTTACTATCTGGTCGTCGGTCTTTTTAATGGTCAGCTTTTCGGTGGGCACAGGTTTCGGCTGTTGAGCTATCGGGCTAACGGCAGGTTTAAGAAGTATTTGTTCGTTTGGCAACGCGGGACCAACGACTGTGATTAAACCAATTGTCGGTTCATTTGCGACTTTTATCGAATAGCTTTCGAAATTTCGTTGGGTTTTCAAACGTACTTTCGTTTCCATGTCACTATGTCGATGCCAACGATAACATCGTAAGAGATGTCCATGACATGCATGGATACTCTTGCGTTTTGTCGGTCAAGTTGTATATCGACTTGGACTTCACCGAGAGTAGTCTTGAAGCCGGCGACGGTTTTTACTTTAATTCCACGTCCAACGGGTCGTAATCGCAAAACATCGGCCATTTCTTTTGATAGTATCGTCAACTCGGATCCGTGATCCATGAATGCTTTAACCGGCTTGTCGTTAATCTTCACATCGTAATGGCGGTCGTCATTGATAACTATCGCGTTGACAGCGGCTGTCGATTCATTACTAAAGGCTGGTCGCGGAGCTGACTGTAATCTAGTGTCCGGGCGGTGGCAAAGTCGCATCCAGTGGTATTCTGTAGCTCCAAATCGCTTACATCGAGGACAGGGTTTTGTAGGTAAGTCGTTGTTACGTTGTTTTCTCGAATCGTAAGGCCTGTCATTGTCATCGCAATCGTTAATAGAGTCGATATTCGGATATCGCTGTCGCATTCGTGTCTCTTCTATCGCTACGGCGATACTAAACCAATCTTCGGGTGACTTCGGCTTCTGGGAGGCCAGATGTGGTTTGTACCAGTCGGGCATACCTTTTGTGAGTAGCCCGACCGCCTGCTTATCCGTGGCCTCGGCTTCATCCAAAAGCCGGCGCATATCGTTATAATAGGATAATACGGATTCGTTTCCTCGTAGTCGACGGTCAGATGCTTCGACTATCCCGTGGCCTACCATACGGCCGAAACGGGCGATCATCTTCGTTCTACACGTGTCCCACGTGATATCAGGTCGTTTGCGTGCGACCTCACGGCAATACCAACTGTATGCCTCGCCGGTTACGTGTTTAGCCAGTGATGTAATCTTCTCGCTGTCGGTTAAATCATATACCAACGAATTGAAACCGTCTATCCATTCGTCTATTGGTACAATCGATTTGTCGCCACTAAACGATTCACACATTTTCGATGAAGTCCTGGCGTGTTGTGGTGTCGGTAGTGGTCTGGTGCTACGGCTATCGGTAAAGTCCAAACGTCTCATTGTGTTTGCATTTGTCAATCGTCTGGCGGCGTGTCCATCTTGAATGGCTTGTTCGCGGGCTGCCGCAGCGGCGCGGGCAGCAGTAGTCAATGTGGCCATGCGTTCGGCCAACTCATAGATATCCATATCGGCAGTGATTCTTTGAGCTATCGCTTCGATATCATCGGCTAATGTCTTTATGTCTTCGGTGACATCGTCGGCGGCGGTCGGAAAAGACGCTAATAGGTTATTTCCGGATCGGAGAGACATCGATACCTTCTTCGGTCTATTCGTTTCTTGAAATACGCTAAAAGTCGACGGTAAATACGTTGAGTCGATAAAAATGTCGTTAAAATAAAGGCGTCTAAAACCGTTGAGTTTTGAATTCGAACGGCTAGTCGTTAAAATCGGGGGTTTCGGTGAATTTTCGCGTAAATTCGATCTCGGCGACTGCGCCAATTGAGATGACTATCGCATAGCGAGCGGAAAGTCAACTCAATATCTGGGAATCGGCGGTAAAAGTAATTAACGTAAATACACGCGTTAAGTAAAAAACGGTTTTATTTAGTTATTAAAATATATACGACATGTCGGTGTGAGAGCTAAGAGACAACTACTGGTGCGGAACCGGTAGAGTAGTTGTTATATACCACGCTTGCGACTGAATTGTAGTGTCGAGCGCCTGCTATCGACACAAAGTGCTGTCAATCAACCAAACCATATCAATATCCTTACACCCGATTATCGACCCGTAAGTCATTACAAACTGTTATCTTCAAACTAAAGTAAGTTCACACACAAGTCCTTACTTAAACAAATTATTTAATATTTATTGTATAAACTATTAATAAATTAGATAATTTTATTTTCTACTGTATACTAATAGTTATGACATTAGTTAGTCTCTGTTTATCATAATATAAATAGATAAAAGTCTACTATTATAAACACTGATTTCCGTTTATAACATTATACTGTATTATAACTGTATTATATAATTTATAAGTAATATATGGTTTTTATAGATAAAATGCATATAATTTTTATTTTATTTGTTTTTCTATGATAACAATTATTGTCTGTTAATATTTGTAACATACATTTGTAATGACAAAATCATATTTTTTTATGTCAAAAAACAAATAGCAAATAAATACAGCAATTAGTTAACAGTAGTAATATTGCTAATACTGTATTAGTGTTAAGTATAAGTGTGTTTTCATAACTGTTTTTATTTGACATACATCTCTCTATTATACAGACTCTCTCTCTCTCTTTCATAAAACTAGTTTAAAGTACTAGTATTTACAGTATTATTAATAATATTTATTTATTTAGTATTATTTCATTATGTTTTTATTTTACTGCTGTTTTGCTGAGACATTGAGAGAAGCACTGAAAACCTTGAATACTAGTCTAATAGGCTAACACTACTACATACCTGTGCACTGCTCTCACCTAACCTGACTGACTGTACTGTAAGTGTGTGTTTGTGTATGTATTGTACAGGTTTTTAAGGTCAGTACACGTGAAACATATTTTTTCTTGAAAATAAATAAATAAATAATAATAATCTAAACTATGAAACAATTTATGTCTATTTGTTTATATGAAACTAAGTTTTTTAAAAAGTTAAATCTGTGTGTGATTTAATAATTTAATATATTATTTGTATTATTGATTATAAAATTTTAACTATAAATTTATTTTTAAAAAATAACAAGAAAATAATATCATTGATAATGAACTGATTATTTACAATAAAAAGTGCCAACTATTTAAAGTTATCATTAGATTTTATTTTATGATGTTATGTGAAATGTAAAACATTTTGACAAATGTTTAAATAATTTATATATACTGTACAGACATATGGTTTAGTTTATTAATTTGAATTTAATTTTATCAACACATTATTATTATTATATGTTTTGGTTGATTTTATATATAAATTATATATAATATTTATATATGAAACTTGTATGCTATGAATTTATTTTTTATATATAAAAAATTATTTATTTTGTTTAATGTATTATTTTTCGCTAATCATCGCTATAGCGATTTTATTATAAGTGAATATCTATTTTTAATTTAATAATAACAAAAATTTTTTTATTAAATAAATAATGTATGTTTGCAATAGAAATAATTTTTATTATTTCTAGTTTTATTATGTTTTTTTTAATATAAATAATTCAATGTTTAACTGCATTATATGTCTATTATATTTATAAAAATAAATATAAAAATGAGTGATTATCAACATATGTTAAAATTTACACATTAGATAAATTATTTTTATTAAATTATCTGATTTAATATTTTCATTGTAAACTTATTTATTTATTATTTGGAAATTTATTTTCAAATTTTAACTGTTGAATGTTTAACAGTTGATTTAATTAATTAATAAGTTGTAATAAATCAACCTAATAAATTAATTTATTAGATTTTAAATAAATAATTGACATTAATATATAGTATAATAATAAAAAATATTCTGGTATAAAAATAATTATCGATTCAATAATAATAATAATAATAATAATAATAATAACAATAACAACAATGTCTGATATATATTTGTGACATAAATAAAAATATTTATCATTATATAAAAATAATTTATATATATATATATATATATCACTCAATACAATACCACCTAATATTAAAAATATAAAACAATTTAACGATCGTTACATAATATTATTAATAGTGATGTTTAAAGGGGAACGCATAACACGAGTGTCGACCTATGATTGCGATCACTTTATTGGCAAAGCTTTTTGCAGGTATTTTCAAAAAAAAAATTTCAACAAAAAAACATATTATTTAGTTTTTATAAGTTTTATAAATTTACAATTAGATTAAATGATGTATTAGAAGTTATTTTATAATTTATATAAAGTTAAGTTATTTTATTTGTCATATTATAAGATATTTTTTAATGAATAATACAATTATTTTGATAATTACCATTTTATTAAAGAAAATAAAAAAATATTTAAAAAATGTAATTTAATAATTAATTTATAATGAATTCATAAAAATTTCAATTTAATTAGATACATTAAAAAAAATTTACTATTGTATTTACAATAAAAATAACCTTGTTAATGCATTTTTTAAAAATTTGATAATTATATTGTATTTATACCTATTTTAAGTATTTAATTGCATATTTTGAAGTACATTTTAATTATTTATTTTATTTTAATTAAATAAAAATTTAATAAGTTAATTTGAGATAATTGTAATATTAATCATTAAAAACAAATACAATTATTGTTAACGACTATTATAGATGGGTACTACCTTTTTATCGGTTATGTCATCGACCGGCGACAAATGTGGAACTGGAGGATCTCATGAGGTGTTCCCACGATGACGAGRCCAGTCATGTGGTAAAACGGTTAGAAAAGTAAGTTAATACATTGAAAAATATATTTAAATTAGTTATTTAATTGGAAAAAAACTAATTTTTTAAAAATAATTTCAATTTAATTAGTAACTGGAGTTTGCAATTAAAGCAAACAAAACCAAACTTTTGTCGTGCATTTTGCCAGACATTTGCCACTAGTCTTATACTGCCATTAATTTTATTTACATTAGAAGTAAGTCATTTAAAAATATGTAATTTTAAAAGTTAATAATTGTTTTATAAATTTACAGAATTATGCTATTAGTATATCATGTTTTATTATTGTTTATTATTATTTTTGTTCATTTATTGTTAAAATAAATAGGAGTGTATTTTAAGGACATTGCATCCAATCCTATTGGGCATAATTGTACGCTATTTTTCTACCGCTGCTAATTGTGATACCACTTGTGATATCAATAGTGTTCAGCCCATTGGCCTGACAGCCGGTACTCTAATCGTTATATTTTTGTTGACAATAACCGCACATCAGTGGGCCTTCAACTTCGGCTCACAGTTGGCTATGAGGGCCAGAGTCGGCTGGAATGCTATCATCTATAGAAAGGTTAGCTAATAATATATATATATATATAAGTATTGTATAATAGCACATATATTTAGTGAATTATAAAACACCTGTCCATTATATTAGATAAATTAAAACCTTTTTTAAAAAAAAAAATTATTTTCATAGTGTCTTAAACTAAGCCGCACTTCGTTGGCCAACACATCTGCCGCCCATATAATCAATTTGATGACAAATGACAGCAAACGCTTTGATGAAGTAATCTATCGATTGAATTGAATTATTGTTATTTGAAATAATTATTAATAAATAATTTTTTTTCAATTAATTTAATTTAGTTGGCAATTGTAGTTCATTTTCTATTTATAGTACCAATTCAGACACTAATCTTTCTATGGATTGCCTGGCAATACATTGGCKCCGCCTGTTTGGCCACATTTGCCGGACTATTATTATTTATACCACTTCTCTCATGGATTAGTACCAAAGTCACAGAAATTAGGTACAAAACTAATTTTATTATTATTATTATTACCGGTATATTTTGAATTAACAAATTTGGAAATATTAAAAAAAATAAATTTAAATATTGATATGTTTTTTGCTAATTGTTTTTGTTTTTTACAAACAGATCTAAAACATCACAATTAACTGATGACCGAATCTGTTTGACAACTGATATTATACGTGGCATTCGTGTCATCAAAATGTATGGTTGGGAACAATATTTCCAGAACTGTCTTCTGGACGCTCGTGAGTTAGTGCCATACAATAAAATAACATACCGTTTCCCAACACCTGATTCATAATAATATTATAATTGTATTACCGGTAATAATATATATTATTTCCTATTCAACTAAACTAGACGTGAAGTTAATCAACTAAGAACTGCCTCATCAGTAAATGCCATGACTTTATCGTTTTCATTCATATCTGCCCGACTACTACTGTTCCTATCGATCATAACCCATGTCCTCACTGGTGGYCATTTGAATGCCGAAATAGTTTTCGTAACGATTTCGGTGTTTGAACGGCTCCGGTATTCGATGACATGGCAGTTGCCGCAAGCGATCGCCGGAACTGCTGAACTGTTTGTGTCGTGTAAACGGATTCAGGATTTCCTTTTGAGTCACGAGATTAAGAGCACCGATACTTTGAACAGCAAAAACAATGATAAAAACAGCGGTGTTGTTGTTGTCGATGATATAGGAATCTCAGCTAATAGGCTGACATCGAAAGTCGTTATTAAAGATTCTCAAAATAAAGAGCTGACAAAACTATTAATTAATGACATAACGTTTGACGTAAAATGTGGTCAATTGCTTACCATTGTTGGACCGGTTGGTTCGGGAAAGGTATGTCATATGTTGTTAACAGTGTATTATAGGTTAAATGTTTTTTTCGATATCTATATTTACAAAGACATCGTTATTGTTATCAATTTTGGGCGAATTAGACGACATAAGCGCAGACAGTCAGCTGTCTGTCAACGGTTCCGTGGCTTATGTAAGTCAAAAATCGTTTTGCTTTAACGGAACCATTCGCGACAATATATTGTTTGGACAACCATACGATGGTAAACGGTATAATAAAATACTCTATTTGTGTGCACTGGAAGAGGATCTCAAACATATGAGCGCCGGTGACCAGACTGTTACTGGCGAACGGGGAACTACATTGAGTGGTGGCCAACGGGCTCGTATTAATTTAGCCAGGTTTAGCCATTTAATAGCTATATATCTTAACAAATATTTGTGTTTTTAATACAATTAATTAACTATTAATGTTTTTTAGATCACTTTACTTGGACTGTGATATCTATCTATTGGATGATCCGCTCAGTGCTGTAGACGCTTCAGTGGCCAAACATATATTTGAGAAGTATAAACATACACTTACTTCTGTCTATTTTAAGCACCGGTAGTTTAATTATCGCATTAATATGTATTTTGTTTTTAAAAAAATTTAATTTCAGCTGTATATTGGATCATCTGAAAGACAAATGTGTTATTTTTGTGACAAATCAGAGACATTTCCTAAAGAAAAGTACAAACATATTATATATGAAAGACGGTCAGTGCCAGGGATTAGGCGATTTTGATACACTACAGAAATTGGGTATAAATTTAGTGTCGGAGCTCAACGAGTCGTCTAATGTTAGTCAGGAAAGTGTCGGTGAAAGTGATAGTGACTCTAAAGAAGACATTAAATCTACAGAAAAAATGAATAACAAGAAAAAGAGGACGAATAAGAAGACTAACAGTCAAACTAATGGCCATTCAATAAATGGCAATCATTTAGTCGCAAACGGGTCTAACGTTATCAGTGATAATAATAATAATAATAATACCGATCAGATTACTTCAAGCATGTATTGTAAATACTTTATATCGGGCTCCGGGTGGCCACTGGTGATCATTACTATACTTTCCGCAATTATTACTCAGTGTTTATTTCATTTAACCGACTATTGGCTGACATTTTGGTAAATATTAGAAAAAAGTTTTATAAATTTTGATTATATTATTTATACTGTATTACAGTATGACTTTAAAAATGTTTTTTTTAAATTTTTTACTAAAAAGGGACGGCAAAGGAAGTACAGATGAATCAGTAGACAATAGCGGATCGCATATAAACTATAAGAATATCTTAGTCTATAGTCTTCTGAGTTGTTGTCTCTTTGGATTTGCATTACTCAGATCCACGACATTCTTCTGGATGTGTCTGAAGTCATCGCTCGAGTGTCACAATCGAGTTTTTAAGCGTCTTTTGCGTACATCGATGACTGTCTTTGATTATCTGCCAATTGGTATAACATTTATTAATCAATTTTTTCCAATCTATAGCAAAGAATTTAAACTTTTGAAATAATAATAATAACAACAAAAACAATCAATTTTTAGGTCAAATACTCAACAATTTTACCCGTGATGTCGGAATACTAGACGACACACTTCCCTGGAAACTGTTTGATCTCAATTTGGTTTGCAATTATTGTTTTATTTTAATTATATTTATTTAGATATATTAATCATATTTAATATACTAATAATATTTACAGTCTCTAGTATGAGATAATTTTTAAATATCATTTTTTTGATACCTGTAAATATTATTCAATTATTTCCAATAGGCAATGATACAAGTATTTGGTCTATTATTTGTGATCATATCAACCAATCTATATTTTATAATACCTGTTTTCATATATTGTTTTGTTTTATATCATTTGAGAAACTATAATATTAATCCATCGCTAGTCGTACGAAAATATGAAGCAATAAGTAAATTATATAAAAAAAATTATTTAAAAAATAAAATTATGTATTATTCACTTTTTTCCAGCCCGTAGTCCTATATACTCGCACGTAAGCACAACCATCGAGGGTCTGACCACAATACGGGCTTTTAGGGCACAGGAGTTGTTTACCAGACAATACAATAGCTACCAAAACGATCACACGAGCACCTGGTTCTTACAGATATCTGTTTTAAGATTTTTTGGCATTTGTCTCGATTATATCGGCTTTTTATTCATTGCAACAATCATTACATTAATCATAATATTTAAATCTGGTATTTAATGTTTATTTTTTGGTTGTATTTTAAGAAATAATTAGTTTTACACCATTTAATCCATAGAGTTGTCCGATTCRAGTGCCGGACTGGTGTTCTCGTCGATAATGGCAATGATGGGTTTGGTTCAGTGGGGTGTCAAACGTACAGTAGAAGTGGGCTCTTGGATGACATCATTGGTACGTTTGAACCGTTATATGGATTTACCCGAAGAGAACATCGAACTCGACGATAGTGACGGACAAAGGCGACGACGTTTTTGTGTACCCGAAGAGTGGCCCCGAAGTGGACAGATAACAATCCGAAATCTGCGGGTCAGTCATCCCAACAACAAGAGTGAACAGATACTGAAGAACATCGACCTGAAGATACTGAACGGTCAGAAAATTGGTGTCGTTGGCCGTACTGGCAGTGGTAAGACAACTCTCATCAATGCATTGTTCCGATTGATTGCCAGCGACGGTCACATAGCAATCGATGGTATTAGTATACAGAATATCGGTCTTCGAGATCTGCGCCAAAAGATATCGATTATACCGCAAGAACCGACTGTTTTTAAGGCCTCTATTCGCTGTAATTTGGATCCATTTCGCGAGTACTCCGAAAACGACTTRTGGACAGCACTCGATGAGGTACAGCTCAAGTCACTGGTCGAACAACAGCCGCACAAATTGGACACAATTATATCGGAAGAATCACTTGGACTGAGTGTCGGCCAAAAACAGTTGATCTGTTTGTGCAGAGCTTTGCTGAGAAAGAATCGGATATTGATCTTAGACGAGGCAACAGCCAATGTCGACCATCAGACCGATGCGTTGATACAGAAGACTATCAAAACAAAGTTCAACGACTGTACTGTCATAACTGTCGCCCACAGAATCGAGACTATCATTGATTGCGACAGAGTTTTGGTAATTAACTGATAATTTGAATAATTTATTTTAATATAAAAAAAGACTTTTATTAATTGTGTTWTATTTTTTGTTATCTGTATTCTGTTAGGTCATGAAAAATGGTGAGATTGTCGACGACAACAGTCCATATCTATTGCTTGAACAAAAAGACAGYTATTTTGCACATCTGGTCCGACAAATGGGTCGATCGATGGCCAGTCGTCTACAAGAATCGGCTCTACAAAGCTCTCGGAAATCATTGAATAATAAGAATAAGACTAACGATTCAGTTCTTAGACAACGAAATATATAAATCATTTATTTTTTTAAATGAAATTAATTATTTGTACATTATATTTAACTTTATAAAATTATTTTAGGATATTTTATTTAAATTTATTTTATTAATACATGTATTTATTTTAGAATTTTTTTCTGTTAAAAATGACCAAGTATATTTTAATAGTTAAATAATAACTTAATTAAAWWTTTTTAATACTTTATTAAATAGACTATTTTATTGTGTAATCATTAGAGATGATCAGTCAATTAATTTGTTATTTATATTTTTATATTCAAAAAAAATATACATTAAATTATTACCGGTAACTAAAAATTGTAAAATATTTATATTTTCAATTAGTCGTCAATAAAAATGTCATATTATTACAAATTTTTTTGTAAGCTTTTTAAAAATATTTATTATTTTATTTTCTAAAAAAACAAAAATTTACTTTAAAAAAATTTCGGTAATAAATAATAAATAATAATAAAACTTATAATTCGATTCTCAGAAAAAAAGAAAATATATTAATGATAATAATTTTACTAAAACAATATATATAATGATTTTAGAATATTTTAGAATAAAATCATTTTTACAGTTTTTTTCAACATATGATACATTAATTGAATTTTATTTTAAATAAATCATTATTAGTTAAATAATAATTTAATATTTGATTTTTATTTTATAAAAATCAAATAATATTTAATGAGATATTAAAATAAATTTCATTAATACTTTTTTTGTGTAATTTATTAATAATGATTTATTTAGCAACAAAATTATATAATTCTTACATATTAAATATTTTATTTTTACAACATTAACCGTAAATTAATAATCATTAAACAATATATCTATTAATTTAATATCATTTAGACTATTAAAAAAAATTACGGTCTGTTTTTTTTAATCAAAACAAATACAGTCGGGATGATATATAAACCAACCGCCCCCACAATAGCCACCCGACTTTCCATCGCCCTTACAATGTTCACTACATTCATATGCATTACCGGAACAACCAAAATCACCACTAATGTAATCTTAAATAATAATAATAATAATAATTTTGTTTAATTAAATAACATTTAAAAATAACACACATATATACTAACTTAAATTCATTAGCAATACAATGGCCAGTGTATTGATTGTAAAAATCAGTTTCAATAATACAGTTTGCATTATTTTTGATGATTATATATAATATTTATATTTTAGATTAAAAAATTATAACCTAGTTATTTTTTGAAAACTTTTGAAAAAAATAAATATAATTATAGTATTTATTAACAATAAATTTTCTGCTCTATTTATACCTAGTAATTATAAAAATTAAAAATTAATATCATTTTAATTGACGGTAAACAGTATGAATTAACAAGTTTAACTTAATTTATGATCTAGACATTAAAAATACAAAATAACCATTGTGAAATATCTTATTCTATTATATTAAATTTTGTAAATTATTTTTTAAAAATTGTTATAATATATAAAATTAATTATTAAGTTGATAGTTATAATAAAAATATTTTGTTGTTGTTAATTATATTTATATAAAATTGTGTTTTTCTTTTTTTCAATGTATTTTTTAGTTTTACATTTAATATCAATTCCAAACGTTTAAATTAATTAAAATTTTCAATTAGTTTATTACATCAAAAGCAGATAAAAAAGATTATATTTTACCAGAACTAAAAAAAATAATAAAAACGCTCTCTCTCTCTCTTACTCTCTCTCTCTCTCTCTCTCTCTCTCTCTCTCTCTCTCTCTCTCTCTCTCTCTCTCTCTCTCTCTCTCTCTCTCTCTCTCTCTCTCTCTCTCTCTTACTCTCTCTCTCTCTCTCTCTCTCTCTCTCTCTCTCTCTCTCTTCTCTCTCTCTCTCTCTCTCTCTCTCTCTCTCTCTCTCTCTCTCTCTCTCTCTCTCTCTCTCTCTCTCTCTCTCTCTCTCTCTCTCTCTCTCTCTCTCTCTCTCTCTCTCTCTCTCTCTTCTCTCTCTCTCTCTCTCTCTCTCTCTCTCTCTCTCTCTCTCTCTCTCTCTCTCTCTCTCTCTCTCTCTCTCTCTCTCTCTCTCTCTCTCTCTCTCTCTCTCTCTATCTTTCTTTTGTTTTTTACATTTCATATATAAAAACACAAATACAAGTATTAATCATCCAAGTTTATTATTTTCACATATCTTTAAAATGATAATTTTTTATCAGTTTATTCTATAGCATAAACAAGTAATTTAAATAAAAATCAATTAAAACATTTGTTTTATTTTAAAATTGAAAAATATTCAAAATAAATAAATGTTACATAAATTAAATTTTAATATTAATATWTTTTATTAAAATATTATTAAGTAATAAAGAAATTATTTTCCATTAATAACAGGTACAGACACCCCATAGAAACCCTTCACAATGACCGCCCGATCTCTTAACATCCTTACAGTGCTCATCACATGAATAGTCATTACCAGGACATCCAAAACCAGCACTACTATAGTCTAATATAAAAAGATTTAATTAATATTTAATTAATATTTATAATTTAATAGTTTTGTGAATATTATAACATATACTAACCCGTATTCATTATCAACAAAAGTATAATCAYATTGACAGTGAAAATAAATTTCATTAAAAAGTTTTTCATTTTGAATATTTGATTTGATATAATAATTTGAATAACAACTTTTACACTAAAAACTTATTATTTTGTTTAGTATTTATACTTTTTTTCAATAACTGATTATTAATGTTATTCGTTTGTTAAGTTAGTTTTAATGTGAATTTTATTTTAATAATTTTGTAATCAATGATATTTAAAATTACAGTTGCAATAAAATTTAGTTTTTAAATTTTTAATTACACCATACTTTTRTAAAAAAATAACTAATGTAAATAACTATGTTTATTAAATGAATATACAATTTTAATTTAATTATTGTTTAGATATTAAGCATTTATTTATTAAACAATTATTATTTAGATAAATAAATGTAGATTGTATTCAAAAAAATATTTATTTTATTATATCAATGCAGTTTTTAATAAAATAAATTTAGTAAATAATATTATATCAATTAAAAAATATATAATTAAGATAATAAAATCTAAATGTATTTCTATTTCTATTTCTATTCACAATTTTTATACATTTGTCTATACATTTGTGATTAGCCATAGAAATAAGTTTTGAATTTTACGATTAATATTGTTATGTCATGAAAAATGATAAGATTGTCGACACGACAACAGTCCATATCTATTACTTGAACAAAAAAGACAGCTATTTTGTACATTTGGTCCGACAAATGGGTCGATCGATGGCCAGTCGTCTACAAGAATCGGCTCTACAAAGCTCTCGGAAATCATTGAATAATAAGAATAAGACTAACAATTCACGATTACTTAGACAACAAAATATATAATTCATTAGAAAAAATCTTAATTATTTGTATATTTAGTTTTATAAAATTATTTTAGGATATATTTTAAATAAAATTAGTTTTTTTAGAAAAATGTTATTTGAATACATTTTATCAATGCAAATGTATTTATTAATATTTTAGATTTTTTTCAGCTAAAGTACCCAAGTATATATTAATATTAATAGTTGAATAACTTAATTTAAAAATTTGTATAATTTTTTATCAAATAGGCTTTATTTTATTTTTTAAAGCCATTATAATTAAATTAATTTCTTATTATATTTTGAATATTTTAAAATATACATGAAATTATTAATTATAAATAGTAAAAAATTTATATTTTCAACTATCCGTAAATAAACACAATTAAACAAATTATTTAAAAAAATCATATAAAATTAATTATTATTCAACGTTTTTTTGAGATTTTATAGTAAATAAAAACTAGTTAAAAAAACTACTAAAATATTAATAATTAAATAAATAACACAATTTATTAATTTATTTTTTTTGTTATTTTTGTAAAATAAATAATATTGAAAAACTACAATAAATTAATAGTCTATTTTGTGGTTAATTATTATTAGTTTTTTTTCAATAAAAACAAAATGTATTCAATCAGTTGTTGTCTGTCTATCAATGAAAATGTTGAGACAATCATTTGGTGGCTGTCTTTTTGGACGATTGTTTTTTGAGGTTCGCATTGTCGGCGGCGGCGGCACCGCTACCGTTACCTTTGGCATTGGTCGTCTCGAGACATATGATGCGAATCTTATCGCTGTCGACAAAAACGGCCACCGATTCGGTACCCATATTGCTGTTTGATGTAATGGACAGACATTTGCCGCCAAATTGGATTTCATAGCCGAGTTTTGTCCGATTATCTGACAATTTATTCGACCGAATCATATGCGAGAACTCGAACTTTGCGAGAAAACCTTTGATAACGTCTTCTTTGACTTCGCCGGCCATTAGCTATAAAAACAAAAAGTTTGAAACAATTTAATGAAAAATAATATCAATTTTTTAAAAAATAAATCCTCCGTTTATGACTTACACCCCATGCGATCTCATCGGTGGCCGGATTCTTGAGATCGTTGGTCACGCTGTTAATGTTGTCCAATTTGGTCACTTTCGGCGACACACCGCTCGGCGCGCAGAATATGGATTCGTCTATTATTGTACACAACGGCATCCTATCGAACATCGAGTTCATCAGTTCCCAGATCTTTTGGCCGGCTTTGTCGCCATATTTGGTGGTACAGTCCTTGAGGAAAGTGCCTCTCTTTTGCTGATACTCTCGGCTTTCATGTTTGCCCCGTAATAGTATGAATTTGGTCGGCGCCAGCATTTTCAGTGCAAACAAATATATGGCGCACTCGAGACTCCATTTGCCTTTGTCGACAACATTGCCGAGAAACAGATAGTGAGCCGAAATAACTGGAAACGATTGCCACAAGTCGTTCTCAAATGTCAACAGATCGTCAAGACTGCCGAAAATGTTGCCGAAAACAAAGGCCGGCGAATTCAATTTAATACACCTGTCCTCTGAGCCAAACAAACCGATCAGATCAGAGCTAAGCGCTTCCAAATAGTTGATGAGTGTTTCCCTGTCGTTAAACAAGAAACCTTTGTCTTTGTCTTTTTTGCGGCTAAAGTCGCGCATTAGATCCACAAAGATGTTGGCAATGGAGCGCGTATTGAATGTAAAATCAATTGAATATCTTTGTTCGGAAATCACTTTATTATCACTGGCCTCAGCTGTGGAAAGATTATTAAAAAAAACAAAAACAAATCAATTAATTGGTTCACAAATTTCTGATTTTTTTTATCAAATAATATCTTACGTTCAAATATTCTTCGCGGTTCAACGCAACTGCCGGTTGTGTCCAATTTGATTGAATGCAAGCCGTAGTCGTATTTTTTGCCTCTGCAGGCAAAACAGACACCACGATTGCGTCGGTTCTGCATCAGAAAGCCGGCCTTCTTCTTGACGGTTGCCTTCTTCTCGACCAGAGTGGTCTGCGACTGAGTAATCTGCGGTACAATCGGTTTTGTTACCCGACACAGGGCAGAGGTTCCGCGAAATTTTTGTTCGCTAACTGCTTTGCAAAAGGCGACCACATCGACCGTATCGGTTGCGCCCATCGCTGTCCACGCCTCGCGAACTTTGTTGTTGATAGAGTTCTCGTCGGAGCCAACGCTCATGGCTTTGACTAACTTTTTGAACTCGTCTGACGACAGTTTGCCGTCGTTGTTGGTGTCGTAGTAACGAAAGACAAACTTAAGCCGCGCTTCGGCATTGGGCGCCGACGGCTCCATCGAGGCCACACCCAACAACATTTCGTGAAAGTCGAGACAATTGTTTTTGTTGTAATTGAACGCATTGTACAGCAATGGAAAGCGATCGTCATCGGCGGTATAGTCTTCAAGATATTTGATCATATAGTCTTTGAACGAATCAAACGACATGGACAGCGAAGGAAAACAGTGTTGGATGAAGTCTTCGTAGATCACTTGAGCCTCTTTGTTGCCGATGCCGGCACCCTTGACCAGAGCCTGTTCAACGTTACGGGGCTGATCTTTGGGCACATAGAACATGGCTCTGTCCAGACTTTCTTCCGATAGATCGGTCGGCTTATCCTGTTTGGCAATTTTGGCAAAGTTCTGGACCTCTGGTCCCCAGACTTTATCTATTTTGCCGGCAATGGCTTCGCTAACGGGAATCCAATGAATACGTTTGGTTGGTTGACAGCACTTGAATGGTTCCGATTTGACCTCTTTGTTGCTTTTGGTACCGCTTCTGTGGCGGCCACCGGATTTATCCTTCTTGCCTTTGTCTTCATTGCCGAGAGCGACAAACCAAACGACTAATGTTTTGAATCGTTTGTCCGGCATTTGGGTGCGAAACACTTGCAAACAGCGCTCGTCTTTTGTCGGTATTTTTGTGCCCAATTTGGCGTCCAACTCGGCGTCCTGTCGGTTAAATATGATGGACACGCCGTCAATTGAGGCATCCTTCCAGGTCTTGTTGTTGGGACAGGCAATGAACGGCAGCCACGAGGGCTTATCTTTATCCGAACGGCTGATCGCTATTTTTTGATGGTCGGGACAGTAGATAATGTAGGCAAGAGTGTCGAAGACGGCTTCGCCGGGCGGCGAACCGCCCTCTGCTGTCAGTCGACCCGCTTGGCTCACACTTTGACTTTCTTTGGTAATCTCGCGGATATCGGTGGACGCCATCCGCAGCGACGGTCCCATTCCGAGACTGCGTTTCGACGACTGCGACTCAACCGATGCGGACGACTTGACTTTTGTAATCTTTTCTTCGCCGCCATTTCCGTCGCTTGATTTTTTTCGCTCAATTTTATCATCGGACGACTTGTCATTGTCCGACATTGGGTTTCGGTATATTTTTTAAATGTCTGTTTTTTTATATTAAAATATCAACTAAAAGATAATAAACTCTTTGAAAATCAATTGAAAACAAAAATCAATTTATGAGATGAAAAAAACCGTTTAAAATAATCAAATAATAATAAAAATAATTTATAATCTTTTTGAAGCAATTATTAATATTATTATTATTAATATTTATTATTATTAATAGTTAACAATAATTATAACTGTTTTATATAATTGTTGTCAGCACGCGATTGATATGTTATTTACTCTAAACTAATTTTAAAAAATAATATCCAAACCGTACCGTAATATTATACAACATATCTCCAGAACTAATGTCCAGCAGTGCATCGATTGTGCCGTTTCTGGCCTATGGTTTGGCCGTATGTTTGGATCCCGTTCTTGTGTTTATGTCGTTGAATCACATCATTACTATTGACGATCTCAAGTCTGACTACAAAAATCCAATAGACGTCTGCCAGCGACTCAATCCACTGGTTTTACCCGAATATGTCATTCATTTGGTCTTTACTATCGGCTTTCTGATGTCTAACCAGTGGTCAGTCATAACCGAAACTGATTTATTATAATTTATTATCCAATAAAAAAACAGATAAATAAATAACAATATCTATCAAAGGTTTTCACTACTGATTAATATTCCTGTTATTGTATATCACGTCTATCGATACGATGGCCGACCGGTAATGTCCGAACCGGGTATCTACGATCCGACCTGTATTTTGAATGGCCAGCATTTGCGTCGGGCGACTGTCGAGGGCTGGACTAAACTGGTCTTCTATTTGATGACATTCTTCTACTATTTGTTTGCAATGATCTACACTTTGGTTCAATATATAGAGTAATATTTTTTTCAACTAAATTTTTTTTTTAAATTAACCAATTTTTGTATGACTTTTTAAAAAAATTATTATATTAGACTAAATTATCAACAACAAAAAAATGAGTTACTAATTTTCTAGCTATAGGTATTAAATTGTATTACATATAATTATTATCAATTAAATATAATGTTTTAAAAAAATTTTAAAAATCGGTATAAATATAATTTATGCTAAATTAAATAAAAATTATAATTGAAAATATAAAAATATATTTATGTTTGTTTAAGATATAATAGACTTTACAATTAATCTAATATTTAAAAAAAAATTAAGTAATAATATACAGTAATGATTAAATTGTTAATTGTTTGATAATAGTTAGATAACATGTAATTTTGATACTTAACTAATATACCGATAGATATCACTTATTAATATTAAAAAACTGCAGCATGAAATAACATGAAATAGGCTTTAAATATAATGCATATTTAAGGTAACATTTTGGTACTATTTATGGTTAATGAACTTAAGTTTTGATATCAATATACTGTAAATACAAACTTTTGTTTACACTTTATTTGAAATTTTGAAACAAAATTTTAAAAAGTCTTTTACACGACTGACTTGTTTTTTGTTTGTTTGTGTGGATCTGTTTGGTGATCACTGATCACACACATACACACAACACGATGACACTGTTTTCCGAAGACGGTGTGGACATGTATTCCCGATTGCGTACCGAATCGGTTCCTGTTTGGCCCGAAATTATTTCGGACGATCGGAAGGTGTTTGTAATGAACTCCGTGGACAACACATTGCGAGACATCAATCGGTTTATTCATTTTGTGGCCAAACATGTCTTAGACAAGACTAATACTGATTGTGGTGATGAACCAGATGTGTTGGCCACCGATGACAGTAACAACACGTCCGCCGGCGATGAAGTGTCCGACGTCGAGGACGACGACGACGACATGAATATGGATGATATGGTACTGTCGTTGGACAGCATTGAGCCGAACGGATCATCAGTTGATAGCGATGAAGACGATAAAGAGATTATGAATGCATCGATTGTTATCTTTGATCACTTGAATCAGTTCAATGTCCAACACTTTGGCCAGTTGTTGACAAATCGGCTTCAATTGAAACCCGTCTCAATCTATGAGGCGTCAAACGGTTCAGAAATGTTGTGTCACATTACCAGACATCTGTCACTGCATATGGCGTTCAATCATCGGTTGAAATTAGTGGTCATCTATAGTACATCAGTCATCGGATTGAATCCAGAATCGACTGCCGACAGTATTAACCAATTGATAGCGTCGACAGTAATAACTGTTCCCGTCTTACTAGTGGTCGATCGGATGACTGCCAAACAGGAAACAGATTTTCTAAAACAATTGGCCTTTGATTTGTTGTCAGTTAAGACAACAATCGATGGCAAACACATTGAGATTATTAGCAAACGATTGAAAAATACAGTAATCGTTGATATTATCAATTGATTCATTAATTATGTTATTGTTGTTGTTATTCATTATTTAAAAAAAAATTGTATAAAAATTAGTCATATTTTCAACAAATATATTGTGATATCTAAATAACTGAATAATTTATTATTAATTTTTAGAAAAAATGTATCTCAAAAACACTGCATATGTTTACAATATACCGGTTTATATAATTGATAATACAATATACAGTATATTTAAAGATTAAACAAATTAGAAAAACAATAAAATTAATTATATATTAATAGAAAAAATATAGTAAAAACTTAATGATAATTAAATTTTTAATAGCTTTTATAGTAATCATTACAAGAAAAATAATTTTCGTTATGTTTAATATTTAAATTCAAATAAAAAAAGTTGATAAAAAAGATATTCACTATTAAATTAAAATTTATATACAAAATTAATTCACAAAATTAATAGTTTAATTATATATTAATTATGATAAAATAATTTTCGTTTTGTTTAATATTTAAATTCAAATAAAAAAATTGTTGATAAAAAAGATATTCACTATTAAATTAAAATTTATATAATACAGAATATTTTTTAAAATAATAATTTTTCCAAAAATGATCACAAATTTTGTTAAATGAACTGTAGTTAATAATCGGATAATCAATCAGCGGATCAAAGTTTTTAACTTTCAAATTGTAATCTTTAATGTTATTAATTGGCGACCATTTGTTTGATAAATCAGGTTTACTATTAAAGTTATTGTTAAAATGAAAAATAATTTGTATTTATTGAGAGTATAACGATATTGTTTTCTGATTACCGATAATTACCGGTATATTATAAATCTATATAGTATTTAATAGTGACTTATATTTACCCATATTTTGCAAAATCAGTCCAAACTTTCATAACATATAAACTAAATTTCTTGTCTTCTTCAGTGAAAGTTTTGAATACAAAATAATTGCTAACCAGTGGTAAACCAAACACATAGGGAACGTCATAACCATGGCTTACACCTATCATTTGTCCTAAAGCACCGTCAGGTTGACCATAACTCCATTGATAGAGATAGACATTGCTATGTTTTGGTGCTATTTTGGCAAACATTTTGGCGAACAGATATGTGGGACAAGTGATGCCAACGTCACCGAAATACTGGAAGAATGCCTGTCTGACAGCACAGGAGTTATTTATGTCGACATTTGACAGATAATAATCAGTTATTTTTTTAACATTAATTGAATGATACGAAAATTTAGATATTTTAACCAAATTAATAAATACATCTTTAGTAACGTTATCCGTATGTAATATAGGATACAAAGGATACGCCAAACTTGAACCTTCCAGTGTTGTATAACCGGCGAGCAATTGAATGTCTAAATCATTAAAAAAATTGTACAGCATATCAATTGGTAAATTTGAAAATTAAAAAAATTCAATATAATCTAATTATATCTAAAATAATATTATAACGAATACCTTTATTAAGCTGTCGTTTTCTAAAAGCTACCTGAGCTGTATGTGGAAAAATATGAGTATCATAGATAGCATTCCAATGAAACAGATTTTTTGTTGAATAGTTTCTAAAATTAAATAAAACATTTGCATCCAATTGTCGCAAACATTTTAACCATTTTTTGCTATCATTACCACAATTGAAATGTTTAGCCAATTTTAGAGTATCTCTTAACGCATCGTTTTTGTTAACCATTGGTCTCTTTTTACTAAACAGATGGGCTCCACTTTGAAGTATAGCCCTATGAAAGAGACCCTTTGACAGTGGGGACAGTATGTGCAGTGATACCGACCAACTTCCAGAACTTTCACCAAATATTGTTATCTGATTATTATTACCACCAAAGTTATGTATATTTTGTTTAACCTGTTTTTTAAATAGTAAACGTTATAAATTAATGTTTAATTGTGATTATAAATTTTTTTCATGTATACCCATTTCAGTGCCAATTGTTGATCATAAATGCCAACATTTCCCGGTGCCGATGGATCGTTAGTATAGAGAAAACCAAACACATCGACCCTAGAATTAACTGTTACTATAATCACATCATGTGTGGCCAAAATTGATCCGTTATAAATTGGTAACATAAATATAGAACCGCCTTTAAACCCTCCACCATAGAACCATTACTGGTTTAAGATTTTTAGTATTAGTGCTAAATTGTCCACCACTTGATACTACCGGTGCCCATATGTTCAAAACTAAACAGTCCTCACTAACGTTATGGGTATTAAAACTAAAATCTTTAGGCTGTATACATGCATAACCCTGAATCGTTGCATTAATTAATGTCTAAAACATTTAATTAATTATTTTAATTATTTTATAAAAACATTTTAATCTTTAGTATTTTGAATTTTAATACAATAAATATATTATAATTTATACATTACTTTTAATGGCTTATCAATAGGTTTCGGTTTGTCAAACCTGAGTTCACCCACTGGTGGCTTAGCATAAGGTATGGCTAGAAATTCGTTAACAGTATTATTAAACACTGATATAGTATGTCCTCTAACTGTTCCCGAAGTGGTTTTAATGTCAACAAAATTAGATTTAGTTAAATGAATTAATACACATTTTATAAATAAAATTATTGATAGTTTATACAACATTTTTATTTGTTTTTTTTTATTATAAGAGTTGAAAAACAACTTTCAATTATTAAACTATAATTTATTTTATTAAATTTGCAAATAACGATACATTGAACTAATAAATCAAGTTAACGATATACAATACACTAATACGCTAAAAATAGTATTATATAACCAGGTCAATCATATTAAATATTAACTTATTTTTACCTTGCAATTTAAAAAAAAATCTAATTAGAATATTTGACCGGGATAACCAACGAATAGGTGTAAAATTAAAAAAACATTTAAAAAAGGTGCAATGTAATCCTTTAATTTTTTTTTTGAATTTTCTATTACTTAATCCAAACTTTTTAATTATAAATATATAATAAAATTAAGAAAACTATTAAATTTAATGACAAATCTATTATAATTTATAATTAATTTATAATTAAAGTCAATTTATAAAAAATTATAATTTATAATGAGTAATAAATATATTAATTATTAATAGTTTATTTGAGCATAATAAATTTTTTAATAACAACTAAATTTGCAAATAATGATACATTGAACTAATAAATCTTGTTAACTATACATTGATATGATGTAATACAATACAATAATACACTAATAGTATAATATAATATATATATTTAAATGGAAAAATAAAATGCAAAAAAATAATAAATTATATTTAATGGATAAATTTATAGTAATCATTACTAAAATAATAACTTATTAAAAGATATTCACTATTAATACAGAATATTTTTAAAAATAATAATTTTTCCAAAACTTGTCACAAATTTTGTTAAACGGATTGTAGTTAAGAATCGGAGAATCAATCAGCGGATCAAAGTCTTTAACTTTCAAATTGTAATCTTTAATGTTATTAATTGGCGACCATTTGTTTGATAAATCAGGTTTACTATCAAATTTATTGTTGGAAAATAAAAAATAAAAATATAATTTGTATTTATATATCTAATTTTTTTTATTGATTAATTCAATATATTATAAATATATATAGTATTTAACTATAACTTATACAATATTTACCCATATTTTGCAAAATCAGTCCAAACTTTCATAATATATAAACTAAATTTCTTGTCTTCTTCATTGAAAGTTTTGGATAAAAATTTTTTGCTAACCAGTGGTACACCAAAGACAAAGGGAACGTCATACTGATGGGATACACCTATTATCTGTCCCAAAGCACCGTCAGATTTGCCATAATTCCATTGATAGAGATAAACATTGCTATGTTTTGGTGCCTTTTCGGCAAACGTTTTGGCGAACAGATATGTGGGACAAGTGATGCCAACGTCACCGAAATACTGGAAGAATGCCTGTCTGACAGCACTGGAGTTATTTAGGTCGACATTTGACAGATAATAATCTGTGATTTTATTGATATTTACTGAATGAAAAAAATATTTAGTTATTTTAACCAAATCAATAAAAACATCTTTAGTAACGTTATTCGTATGTAATATAGGATAGCCATTGTAGGCCAGCTCTGAACCTTCCAGTGTTGTGTCTCCGGCGAGCAATTGAATGTCTAAATCGTAAAAATATATACTTAAATATGATTAAGAAAATGAATATAATTTTATTATTTTAATATTTTAATTAATAACTCTCAAATCGTTTTGTATATTTAAAATATACCTTTATTAAACAGTCGTTTTCTAAAAGCTACCTGAGCTGTATGTGGAAAAATATGAGTATCATAGATAGCATTCCAATGAAACAGATTTTTTGTTGAATAGTTTCTAAAACTAAATAAAACATTTGCATCCAATTGTCGCAAACATTTTAACCTTTGTTTGCTATCATTACCACAATTGAAATGTTTAGCCAATTCTAGAGTATCTCTGAGCGCATCGTTTTTGGTGACCATTTGTATCTTTTTACTAAACAGTTGGGCCCCACTTTGCATTATACCCCTATGAAAGAGGCCCTTTGACAGTGGGGACAGTATGTGTAATGATACCGACCAACTACCGACACTTTGACCGAATATAGTTATCTGATTACTATTACCACCAAATTTATGTATATTGTGTTTAACCTTTTAATATTTTGTTAATACATTACTTATTTTTAATTTAATGTTTTCAATGATGATTGTGAAAAATTATGTTTTTTTTGAATACCCATTTCAGTGCCAATTGTTGATCATAAATGCCAACATTTCCCGGTGCTGATGGATCGTTAGTATAGAGAAAACCAAATACGTCGAGTCTATAATTAACTGTTACTATAACCATATCATTTGTGGCCAAAATTGATCCGTTATGTAGTGGTAGCATAAATATAGATCCGCCTATAAAACCTCCACCATAAAACCATACCATTACGGGTTTAATAGTTTTAGTATTAGTGCTAAATTGTACACCACTTGAAACTACCGGTGCCCATATGTTCAAAACCAAACAGTCCTCACTAACGTTATTGGTATAAGTATTAAATAGTTTAGGTTGCATACATGCATAACCCTGAACAGTTGCATTTATTATTGTCTAAATTAAATTAAAATAATTTTTGCTCAGACATAAGTTAATTGAATTTTGAATTTTAATACAATAAATATATTATAATTTTTACATTACTTTTAATGGCTTATCAATAGGCTTTGGTTTGTCAAACCTGAGTTCACCCACTGGTGGCTTAGCATAAGGTATGGCTAGAAATTCGTTAACCGTATGATTAAACACTGATATAGTATGTCCTCTAACTGTTCCCGAAGTGGTTTTAATGTCAACAAAATTAGATTTAGTTAAACTAATTAATACACATTTTATAAATAAAATTGTTAATAGTTTATAAAACATTTTTATTTCTAATATAATATTAAAAATTTTCTTTTCTTATTATTTTATGATATAACAAAACTCAACTATTTATATTTAATTATAATTCATTATTTTAATATAGATGTAAATTGTTATTTGAAAACTAGTTGGACTAATAAAATAAATTGATTTTCATTTATATAGTAATTGCAAATAACGATACATTACATTACATTAATCACATTAACTTAATCATTATATTAGCTATATTATTTTTTAAACAAAATAAAATTTATTACATTGAAATTTTATTTTGTTTAAAAAACATCCAGTAATTATCGATTAAATTTTAATTTATATATATAATTTATATACATCACTAATTAACAAAATTATTGCAGTAATAATTAGAGTAGTTGCCTAATCTTTATGTTAATCATTATTTTATTTGTAATTATAATTTTATTTAGTTATTATAATTTATTAAAAAAAATTGTAATTAATTTTGTAGACACTATTTTTTCTGAAATTTAATAAAAATAAAATTTGTTGCTTTGATTTTCCGGGAAATAAATTATCGTTTAAATAAAATCATTTAAATTTATATTATTAAAATTATTTAATTAGTTCATTATTAATCGTTAAAACTATAGTATATACAAATGTATAATTGCATAGATATTAATTATATAAGCATTAATTATTTAATAATTTTTTCTATACTCATTATTAAAATATCATAATAACATTATAAAATATTTAAAAACTTTAGATTTAATGAAAAAACTAAATTTACTTTACGTCATAACAGTTAGCACTTATTTTTCGTATAAGTAATAAAATATTTTCATTTATTATGTAAACTAACAAAAAAAACCTTTTCATAAATAAATTATAAACAATAATTTAAAAAAAAAATTATTTATTATTATTACTTATATTATTAATTAATTAATTAATTATATTTAGTAAACTATATGAAACATATGACATGTACTATTATCAAATTACTAATTAATTAAAAGTACTGTAAATTGTAATTGTAAAATATGCCAATTATTTGTCACTATAGTGGCCAAGTAGATGACAATTAATAATTTATTTAATAACATAAATTAATAAAATAAGAAAATTAATAATTTATAAGTTAGTTGTTTTTAAAACATAGATCTCTCGATAAAATGATAGCAAAGATAAATGATATGAATTTGGCGATCAAAACACCTCCTGTTGTCTGTCGACACATACGGGCCGTAATGTCGACGACTGGTATTTCAATTTGATTGGCTTTCATAAACCGGTCAACAAATTGCAACCAATCTCTCTCTCTCTCTCTCTCTCTCTCTCTCTCTCTCTCTCTCTCTCTCTCTCTCTCTCTCTCTCTCTCTCTCTCTGTATCTAAATATATGACACCCGAATAGCCGAGACATTGTCGGCCAGTTAGGTGACAATTGGATGCGCGTCGACGGCTTTTTTTGGTGACCACCGACCAAAATGTCCCACTGACCGAATGTCTCGTACGGAGATCGGGAAAAGTTTATACTGTGTGTCAATTGTATCGCAGGTCACCGAAAATCTGAATAATTTCAATAACACTTCAACATAAAAAAAATTATAGATAATATAATAACTAAATATTATTATTTTGAATAAAATAAATGTTTTTTTAAATTATATATTATAATTTGTATCTAGTAAATTTATTATCTGAAATTTAATTTTTGTTGTTGTTGTTGTACTTTAAACCCACTAATAATATTTGAACATTTATTGATAAAATATTTATCTAATTTAGTTTATCATTATTATTTCTGAGCAAATTATCTAAAATAAATTAATAGTTTAACATTTTACGTTTATAATAAATTATTAGTACAAATTAATTTTCTTAATTTATAACTTATAAATATTTAAATCTTATTAATTAAAAATATTGTTATTATAAATTTAATAAAATAATTCACAATGATTGATAAATATTGTATTATTTAGTTTTGATATTAAGATTAATTATCATTAATTTCTATTTATGTCTCACTGTTTAACTTACTTTTCCATAACTTAATCACAAATTAATATTAATAATTGATTTTTCATTGTTATTTTATATTTATCTGTAATACAGTATAACATTACCAGTAACTATATGTATAATCATAAGATAAATAAAATACTGAATTTTTTAATATCATATATTGCGTAAATTTATAATATAAGATGACTTTTTTCAAGTGTATAATAATACTTCAAGTATTTTTTGTTAATAGTTTAAAAAAAATAAAAAATATTTCCACTATTTATTTTCTTAATCAAACATTAATGGCATTAAGTTACCACTGGATTATCTAAGTATAACTAAAAGTCATCAAAATTTATTAATTTATATTAATAATACTGTTATATAATTTTGTTGGTGTTGTTGCTGTACTGTATATAACTACTATATTAATAAAATAATTATAATAACTGCAATTTAAAAATTAATTTAAAATTAAAACTATTTTATTATAAATAATTTCAAATAATGTATTTAAAATTAATTATTGTGTTTCTGTGTTTAGATCAAGTATTTCATATTGAATGTAAGTCTATAATACTGTATAACATCATAATTATATATTATATAATTGTAATATAATTTATTATTTATTAATTACAATAGTCGTCTACGTTTGCATTTTTAATACAGTAAAATAAATAAAATTTAAATATGTTATTTAAAAGTTTAATATATATTTTTTATATAATATTTATTAATATATTTCTATTTGTAATGTTATGAAATTTAAAAACAAATCAGTATTTTATTCATTAATATTATAAACATTAGCTATAATAATAGTAATTATTAATCTAATAACACAATTGAATGTTTGTATTGAAGGCAATCGTCAAATACTGAAAGACGAGACATTAGTTCATTTGAAACTATTTGACAATTGTCTCACATTTTATGGTAACTTAAGAGACGCTAAAATCAGATATCGTTTATCAGTATTGGATGTGAACAGTAGGACAGTAACCGACAACAATGTCCGCATCTTTGTCCTCGACGACAAAGACAACCGTTTTATCAATCAAGACGTTTTAGGACATCCATACAAAGCAAAAGAGTTTGTCTTATTCAGCGCTAATGTGACCAACAAAGTGGACACTTCGGTACTTAATTTGGTCTTATATGATATAAACAATTTTTTTTTTGGTGACAAAACATATTAAAATTGTTAACTAATTTTTTATTTATAGATCTATGTAATAGATTTTTTAAAGTCCAGTGACAATACTAACTGGAAATCATTTGCCGTAAGTCATGTACTGCCACTTACCAGTACTGACGGCACGGTTACCGTACCTGTCGTACAAAAAGACAACGATGCTGTGGTCGGCAGTATTAATGGTATATGTTTTAATGTACAAAATTGTGTTGAAAACTATTTGATTTTTATGTTTTTGTTTCCTAAAAAAAATTAATTAGTAAACTATTTGGTTATTCATCCGATACACGGTTTCGATGCCTACTCAGACCATACGGTAACCATAAAACCGGCCGCAATGATGGGTCACAGAGGAACGGGAGTTGGCAGACGAACTGATCTGTTAGTAATTTTTTGTTTATTTAGTAAACTTAAAAAAATTATTAGTTTTTTTTGTAGTAAATATTCTGTATTTAATTGTCAATACAATTATTAATTTTAAAAAAATTTATAGTAAAGAAAATATTCTGGAAAATACTATTGAAGCATTCAATTATGCCTGTCATCATGTATGGTTATCATTATAAAAATTTATCTAGATAATTTTAATTAATTAATTAATTAAATTAATTTCTTATAGAAAGCCGATATGATTGAACTGGACATACAATTGACCAAAGATAAGGTGCCAATAGTTCATCACAATTTTGATACCGAAGTCTATATTCAAGAGGTTTTTTTTAATTGATTTTGTTTTTTAATTTTTTTAAAAATAATTTTTACTAATATAAAATTAATTAATTAATATCAACTATCAAGAATCGTGGCACAGATCTAGTGAGACAACATATTGCCGTCAAAGATCTCAAATTAAATGATACAACAAAGGTATGTATAGTATATATGTTTGTGTTATACTGGAGACTAGTAGTGGAAAAATTATTTAATTAATAACACCTGAATTATTATTATTTTTGATTATTTATGATTAAAAACAAAATCATATCTAAGTTAGTAATTGAATTAACTGTTTGTTTTTTCCATTTTATTAATAGATAAGTACTGTTGAGAGCAAAGTCTATGATTATGCCGACAATCAGCCCTTCGAGACACTGGAGAAAGTCTTAAACAATATGGAGCCCAACTGTGGTATCAATTTTGAGATTAAATATCCACAGATTAATACAGTATGTAATCAAATATATTTATTCATTATTAATATTTTAGTAATTATTTAAAAAAAATAAACATAAAAGTCTACAGCATATTAATTTAATATAATAATATTGTATCATTATATATATATTTTCTGTTTTACTGATTTATATTTATATTTAATTTTATATTATATATAAATATTATTATAAATAATTATTATATATAATAAATTTAATATTTAATATTTAATACTGAATTATATTTAATTTAAAAAAAAAATTATTTTTATTTTTAATAATTTAAATAAATATTCATAATTTTTTTTGTGTAATTAATTCAATTGATTGACTGAATAGAAAGGCAAATGGGATGGAATTAAAGGCATTGAATTGAATGAATACATTGATATTATTGTTAAAACATTATACAAACATTTGGGTAACAGAACCGGTATTATTACATCATTTCATCCCGATTTGTGTGCAATGTATGTAATAATGTTGACGTAATTGAGCGCTCAGTTAACTTAAAAAAAATGATAACTAATTCTAACCTAATCTATAGGATTCATCTGAAACAAAACCTATTGGATGTATCACTATTGACATCGGGCGACGTAGAGCACTGGGACCCAAAAGACATACCCTATTGGGACCCGAGAGCTACGACAATACCGTTGGGCACGTATTTTGCCGAAGGCATGAATCTAAGCGGTCTGTCCATTCAGGCTAAAGATCTATTAGCCGATCCGACGCTCATACCGTTTGTTAAGTCACACAAACGAAAAGTGTATATATGGGGCGGTCAGCTAAACAATTTGGATGTCATCAACAAATTGAAAGCTCAAGGCGCTGATGGACTCATATTTGATAAGTAATATTAATAACAAAATACAAAAATTTATATAATAATAATTTTTTTGAAATAAATTTGTTGTTTTTTTTGATAGAATTGACAAAATTCTGGCACAAATTCTTGACGATTCTGATTAATAAATTGTTTGTTTAAAAATTTTTATTTACCATTAGTTTATAAATTAAAAAACAAAATTATGAAACAAAATTTCTACTAATATTTAGAGCTTCTGTAATGATAAAGAAAAAAACACACACAAAAACAATGTATAATAAGTTTAAGTTTATAATAAATTTAATAAATTGATTATTTGTTTTATTATTAATATTTAATATTAAATTTTATTTTTATGTTTATTTTATGAAATATTTGACAAAAATTTTCGTGCGGGCAAAATAATACCAAACAAACTTTAATATTATAATTTATAAAAAATATTGGACAATATGTGTTAACTAACATATATTAGATTACTTAAGTAATAATAATTAATTTGTTTTATTTTGTGAGTTTAGAAATTTTTAAATTTTATTTATCAAAAGTTAATTATAAATTAATTAATACAGTTATAAAATATTTTTTTTTAAAAATTAATATATTATATTGCTAATTATAAGGTAGTATAAATTTAAATTACTTTTGTAGTTAAAATATTAGTTAAACTATAATTAACATATCGATAATATAATAATTACATACTAATAATTTAAATTGTAAAATATTAAATAATTTGTTTTCATTGAATTGAAATTAACTGTATATTTTAATATGATAGAAATACTTAAATATAGTTTTTTATACTTAAACTTTAAAATACACTGTTTTATTAATATAAATAACATGATTATTCATAATATTGATCAATAGTTAAATATATTAATTTTTATTAAAAAGCTAATTTTAGAAATTTTTAAAAATAATTAATTTTCTTGTTACTCAATTAAAACACATTTTTATATAATAATAAATTATTAACATTTGTTAGTTAAAATCTTTTAAAAATATAATATACAATAAATGCTAAAACATTTAAGTTAACTGTCATGTATTTATTTTATTTAAATTATTAATTAATATTAAAAAATTATATTTGTTATTAAATTTATTTTACCATACTTTACAGCTATTATTAAATCATTTTTTCTAAATTGTATTATTAATGTTTTTATTGTTTTTTAGATTTTATATATCAATATTTTAAAAAAGAATAATAACTATAATATTTTTACTAAATCTATGCAAATTAAAATATTTAAAACTCAAATGTATTAAAAATATAAACTTGAAAAAATTATCATTATCAAAACAAATTTTAGGTATCAATTAAAGTAAAAAATATAATAATAGTTAAATATAATTTATTTAAAAGAATATCAACATAAAAATACAATAATATATTCATAAAAAAAATATTAATAAACAAAAAAAATTAATGTTTTTAAGTTTATAAGTTAATTATAAAATATTAAATTAATATATAACAGATATTGATTAATAATATTAATTAAATAATTAAATAATTAAATAAACTACAAGTACAGTAACCATCTATACATCTAGGACTAGTACACCTTAACATTTGACATTGTTTTATTTTTTCAGGTGTACAACCACTTGCATCTATGTTTTCTACACAATAGAAATCAATTATTTGTTATATTAATACATTGAATATTAAATTATAAATTAATATTAATCAACAATTTTTCTTTCTATTTTTGAATACTGTTGATATATATATTTAAGATTTATAATATTTATAATACCTATATTCATCATCAATACGATGATAGTTAAAAGGATAATAATTTTCAATAACGAGTTAATCATTTTCTTTTATAATATTTTGTTGATTAAAACTTTATTTTTTTTAATTTCTAAATAAACAAAACATATATTGAAATCTTAATGAAGTTATATATATACTGAAAAAATGTGCTAAATAATTGTTAAATAATTAATCAATAGTAAGAAACTAAATAATATTATATGTTTAATCATTAGTGTTAGATTAATTTTATGCATATATTATTATTATTCAAAAATTGCTTAACATTTTAAGTGAGTTAATAACTAAGTATATATTTTATGTTTAAAAAATGTTTATATTTTTTATAATATTATTATAATTGAATAAAATACAATTAGTTATTAAAAATAACATTGAGATAAAACTTAGTTTTTATAAATAAAACAATAAATTTTATTATCAAAACAAATTTTAGTTATCAATTGAAGTAAAAAATATAATAATAGCTAAGTATAATTTATTCATTAAAAAAATATTAACATAAAAATACAATATTATTTTTAGTAACAAAAAATAGCAATTACATTAAATAAATATTTTATTTTTATTAATTAATAAGTACAAGTAAGATAATTAACTACTATTTTATTTTTTAAAAAAATGTTTTAAAATAAGTTAATCTTTTAATATAAAAAAAATCAGTATATAACAGATTCCTATTTAGTTTTATTTTTATAGGAAATTGCTTAGAAATATTAATTAATTATATATTATAAACCACAACTACAGTAGCCATTTATACATCCAGGACTAGCACACCGTAACATTTGACATTGTTTTATTTTTTCAGGTGTACAACCATTTGCATCTATGTTTCCTATACAATAGAAATCAATTTATTTTTTATACATTGATTATTAAATTGGAAATTAATATTAATAACGTCAATTTTTAAAAAATATATTTAATACTGTTGATTTTTATAATATATTTAAGTATTTTAAAAAAAATATTTATAATACCTATATTCATCATCAATGCAATAAAAGTTAAAATAAAAATAATTTTCAACAACGAGTTAATCATTTTCTTTTATATTTTGTTGATTAAAACTTAATTTTTTTATATTTTCAAATAAACAAAACATACAGGTATATTGAAGTTATCTTAATGAAGTAATATATATATATATATACTTCAAAAAATGTGCTAAATAATCATTAAATAATTAATCAATAGTAAGAAACAAAAATAATATTATATGTTTAATCATTAGTGTTAGATTAATTTTATGGATATATTATTATTATTATTCAAAATTGCTTAACATTTTAAGTAAGTTAATAACTTAGTATATATTTTATTTTTAAAAAAAATGTTTATATTTTTTTATAATATTATTATAATTGAATTAAATATAATTAGTTCTTAAAAATAACATTGAGATAAAAACTTAGTTTTTATAAATAAAACATTAAATATTATTTTCTAATTTTTTTAAAATAGATATCTAAATGTTAACTAATCACTATAACACACCAAGGTTGGCATATATTTATTATATTTAAATATGTGTTTTAAAACATGTGTTCTGCAAGATATATAGTCTATTTGTTGAAAACATTATACAAAAAATATAGATAATAAAATAATAAAATATAATCAAAAAATATATAATTAATTAATTACATTTATTAATTGTAATAATTTATCACTGGCTACTGTAGTAACAAATGTCTCAAATTTATAACACACACATACAGTACATATAAAAACCATAGTTTAAGTGAATAATATTGTTTAAAATTTTTAAAAAATAATTCAATCATTTCACTTTTAAAAATAAATAAATTGCTAAAAAAATTAACTAAAACTATTTAAAAAATATGTTTAAATTGTTATTTTTAAGTGCTATTGTAGTGACTGTTATTCTTGTAAATACAGGTAATTTTTTAAAAATTATTATTTATTGTATTTTTTGCAATTAGATTTAGTTAATATTTATTAGACAAAATATTAAACTAATTAATTTTTTTTAATATTACAGTAGATAAATGTGAATCGGCACCCGTCGATGATGACCACCACCACCACCCGGAGCCACTGGACACGTGGGGCTGTCCTATAACCAGCAAATGTAAGTCTCACTGTCAGAGTCTGGGCTTTAAGGATGGCAAGTGTGAAGGCGCCACACATACAACCTGTCACTGTATTGGATAAACTAATCAATTCAACAATAATTTTAATTATTATTCATAAATAATATATATATATATATAAATTTGTAAATTGTATTTATTTATTTTTTTATAAATAAAATAAATAATTCTATAAAAATCTTAAATAATGTTTTGTGTAATATGTTTTTGAAATTTATTATTATTCCTATTAAAAATAATTATTATTATCTAGCAGGTAAATAAATATTAGTTTAAATGTTAAATTATTTTATAATGTATAATAATAATAATATTATTATTATTAATTTTTAACATAATTAATACTTATACTTTATACTATTGCAATTAGTTTCTTAGTAATTTACACAACACTAATGATTTAACACATTATTTTAAGCAATAATATTTTTAATAATAATAATAATAATAATTAAAAAATATATTGATTAGTTGGCATATATTGTTTTGTCTATATATTCCTAGAAATCGCTTATGTGTATTGATACTTTCAAAAAATACATTTAAAAAATAATTAAATTAAATATTGTAATTAAAAATAAAATGATTAAATTATTGTTAAATATCAGTTTACTTCTTATTATAGTATCAATGAATATGGGTATAGTATATATTGATATACAGTAATATAGGAACATATAGTTTTTATAATATAGTCAATTAAATTAAACATTATATTATTTGTAGGCCATTTAGATGCAGATGTTTGTACCCCTGATATTGAAGCAAAATGTCAACGTCTATACTGTGTTAACCCGGGATGTGTTGATGGCAAGTGTCGTTGTGGTGTAGGTCTGTATTAACAATAATTTATAAAAATAAATTAAACAATTTTTATGACAAAATTATTTATATACTGTTTAAATGTATGCAAATATCTAATATTTGGTAGGTATTTGTACCCCTGAACTTGAAAAACAATGTAAAACTTTAAGATGTGTTAACCCGGGTTGTGTTAATGGACAGTGTCGTTGTGGTGTAGGTTTGTTAATAACAATTACTGATTTTTTTAAATAAAAAAAAATTATATTATTTCATACAATTTTATATACTAACTAATAACAATAATTTAATAATAAAGTATTAAATAAAATTATATTTTTATTTGTAGGCAATAATGTTTGTACCCCTGATATAGAAGCAAAATGTCAACATCTAAAATGTTTTAACCCGGGATGTGTTGATGGCCAGTGTCGCTGTGGTGTAGGTTTGTATAAACATAAAAATTTCATATTATTTATATACAGTACAGATACATATACTGTATATTAATAACTAATATAATAATTTATAAATTGTCATTTTAGGTATTTGTACCCTTGAATTGGATAAAAAATGTCAAATGCAGCGCTGTTTTAGACCCGGGTGTGTCAATGGCCAATGTCGATGTGGTGTAGGTGTGTGTGTGTGTGTGTGTGCTAACAATCATCCTATTAAAAACAATTTCTACAATAGTTATTAAAAAAATAATAATGATATTTTTATTTTTAGGATCTCTAGGTTTTTGTACAGCTGATCTTATAGCTCAATGTAAACTAATGAAATGTATTAACCCCGGGTGTGTCAATGGTCAGTGTAGGTGTGGTGTAGATCTCACAGCAACACAATAAGCAACATATTATTGTAATTTTTTAAAATAATTTATGATAAATTTTAATGTGTTTTTTTTTGTTATAATATTAATGTAATGATTATTTTAACAGAAATTTTATTATATTAAAAATAAAATAAAATTTAAGAATGCATTTATAGATTAATTTGTATTATTTTAATTGATACATTTTCTTATATAATATTTTAGTTTTTACACTGTTTTTAGAGAAAATACATTATTAAAGTACAAATAATTATTTTATTTTATATTTAATTAATATAAATATTATTATCATTGATAACTAATACTGTAGTAGTTAATATTAGTTTAAATGTTAAATTATTTCATATAATAATATTAATTTTACACAATATTATTATTATTATTCCAATTAGTTTCTTCTACACAAAACAAATGATTTAACACATTATTAAATAACAAATATTTTAATTATAATTTATAAGTAAATTGATTAGTTGGCACATATTGTTAGTATATATATATATATATTGAAAAATTAACACTTTATGTTTAGTTAGTAAGAAAAAGAGAAAAAACAAGTTTTATTAAAAATAATAATTTTTATTTTTTAAAAAAATGTTTCATTCATTGTTAAAAATTGTTGTCCTCCTAATTGTCGTATTTATGAATATAGGTATATATAATGTTATTTATATATAAATTATATTGTTATATAAAATTCCTTAATATAATTAAGTTTTATACATATATATTATATATATATTATTTTAATTATGTATTTATAGGACATCTATACGCTGGTGTTTGTACCCCTGAAATTGAAAAACGTTGTCAACTGGAACTATGTCTTAATCCCCATTGTGTCGATGGTCACTGTCGTTGTGGTTTTATAAGTATCGATCCACCAAAATAATCAACAATATGTTAATTTATTGTTAATTTATTGTTAATAAATTTTAATTATGTTTTTACTATAATATTAATGTAAAAATTGTTTTAAATAAACAGAAAATTTAATATATATTTTTTTAAAAAAAACGTAATTTAATAATAAAAAATTAATTTGTTCATTTTTTGTCTATTGATTTTATTTAACATAATATTTTGAGTTTATTTTTTTTAAATAAATATTTTTTTTAATATTTTATAAATTATTAATGATTATGATGTTATTAACTTTACTAAATATAATACTAAAAAAATTGTATTATTATAAACTCATTGCTTAGTAATTACGAAAAAAATATTTATACATTATATAAAAAACAAGTGTTAAGCAATTGACTAAACAATTTATTGTAATTAATATTGCATTTTTACCTAAAATAAATGATATATAATAAATAATAAAATGTGATTATTAATTTATTTTATTATTTAGTAGATTTTATTAGTAAATACATATATTTTGTATAAAAATATTAAATAGTAAAAGTTTTATAATTAATAAAAAATAAATATGATTAATACAATGATGCTAAAAATTGTTGTCCTGTTAATAGTTGTATCATTGAATATGGGTATAGTACTAACTAATATAAATACATAATTATATATCTAAAAATTGAAATTTTAAAAATGTTATTAATGATAATTCTCAATTTTATTATATAAAATAATTGTTATATTATTTGTAGGTTATATTTATGCTGGTGTTTGTACCAATGAAAAAATAAAGTTATGTCTAACGATGAGATGTGCTAACCCCGGGTGTATAGATGGCGAGTGTCAATGTCTTCAACCTATTGAATAAATAACGATAAATAAATAAAAACAACTAAAACCTAAAAAAAAGTTTCTATGAGTTTGTTTGTTTTTTGTTACTCAATAAAATAATAATTTATTTTTGATAATATATTTTTGTTTTTTTACAAAAAAACAATTTTCCTAAAACATAAATGTTTATTTTAATATATAAGTAACTTATTAGTATTATAAATTATTATTTATTTATCAATTACTATTCTATATATAATTATTATACTATTTGAAATTAAAATTTTTAAAACCAATTATTTTTATCTGAGTTTTATTGCATATTAATTATTTAATTTATTTTATTTTTAACATTTTAAACATTTAAAAAATAAGATAACTATAAACATACAACAGTTATTAAAAATATAAGATAAATTTTATTACTAATTATTATTGAAATAAACTAAATTATTAGACACCACACTAAGTTAATCTATATTATTATTATAGTCAAGATTAATATTTAATTTAATTCATATACATGTTTTTATAAATGTAAAATATAATTACTAATATAACTGATGAAACTTTTTTTAACCATGAAAATACACTGATATTTTTTTATTAATTACATAATATATATGCAATTTTTTATCATAATATTAAACATGATAAAATATTTTAACATATGTCAGAGTTTCAGGTAACAGATTAAATAAAAGTTATATTATTTTTTAAAAAAATAAAACAATATAAATAATTAAATAAATATTTTATAATATTATATTTATTTATATAATTTACACAAAAAACACACAACAATGTATAAAAATTTGCTTAAAATTGTTTGTCTAACTGCACTAGTATTGACAATTGTGCTTTTTAATACAGGTAATATATTTATTATCAAAAGTTTTATTTTAGATTTTACAGTATAATAAAAGTTTAACAATAATTTTTTGAAATAATATAGATAAATGTGAATCGGCACCCGTTGATGACCACCCGGAGCCACTGGCAACATGGGGTTGTCCTATAACTAGCAAATGTAAGACTCATTGTAAGAGTATAGGCTGTAAGGATGGCAAGTGTGAGGGCCCAACACATACTACCTGTCATTGTATCGGATAAAATATACCTAAAAAAATTAATTTATTTATTTGTTTTTAGTATAATTAACTTATTTTGATTATTTTTATAAATAAAAATTAAGCCAATTTTCAATAACACGTTAAAATAGATTACAAGATAACTATTTAAGTATAAAAACCAATGTTTTATATTTAATTAATTTATTAAAAAATAACAATATTTTTATTTAAGTGATATTTGTTTTTTGTATTTTTTAATATAAAAAACTTAAACATTTAAATTTACTAAATCAGTTTATCAATACTTTATATTAATTCAATTTAATCGTAAATGAAAAAAATATTAAACTTAATTTATATGATATTTATTTATTTATTTAACTATTAAATATTATTTTTTTTTCTAATTGTTTTATAGATTTAAGCATTTAATATAAGAATATCTAAAACTTGTTATTTTTGTAATTTAAAAAATGCATTATAATTTTTAGTTTGAATTAATTGTATAGTTTACATTATTTATTTTTATTTATTTACTAATATTTATGACATTTTAATTACAATAAGTATATATCAGTAAATAATAATTATTGATTGTTAGCATCTATTGGTTAAAATAAATAATATTAATTTAGTTTCTAAAAAAATCAATTGCTGTTAATCTATTTGATGATCATATTTGTATACATGTATTATTGTTATAGAAAATTATTAATTTAATTACTTWTATATKTTTTAATTAMTATAATTTTTTTAAAAAATAATTTGTTTTTATATGTAAAATAATCTATCAAWTATCATATTGATTGACGGTTGAAATGTCATTTATAAACAATATTTGTATTGTTTTTTACTAAATATATTTTTTTGTTGTTGCAAAATATCTCATATTACAATAAACATTAAATGACAATCAATTATTAATTATTACTGTTGAATATGAAAATGCAATATTATATTTGTAAATTACATGTTTATTATTTATACTAAAATTTAAGTTAATTAACATTTTAGTCTATAGATAATAAGTTTATTAATTCATTATAACTAAACAACCAAAATAAATARTTTATTATAAAGTTGAAAATTGCAAAAAAATAAGTATATATAAATATTAGTAAAAATAAATCTAATTATTATAATATTAATAATAATTATTATTATTATAAACTTTACTACAGTAGTAATAGTGTGATCTTATTATAGATTATTTTCTTTATTATAGATATTATAAATTACAATATAATAAATCAATATAAAAAAGTTTGTTGTCCTAAMATGCAAAATAGTAGCCAACATTGTTATGRTATTGTTTAATTTGTTATATGATATTAATAAAAAAATCTAAAAAAAAATATTTTGTACATTTAATTTATTTTAAACAATTAAAACAAATTAGGAAATATAATTTATTATTTTTTTTGCATATACATGTTTCTGTATACTATGATAATAAACTAGAGTCATCTAATTGCTATTTCACAATATTAACAATACTTAATATTAGTATAAAAATAATGTAAACTTTTTTTGCTAGTTGATTTTTCATTTAGATTAGAAACTATTAACAAGGCAATATAATTAAATACAATTAAATTAAAACAAAATTAAATAAAATGAATAAACAATTAGTAAAAATTGTTTTCGTTTTCATGTCTGTACTGTTTGTCATTGCTATGACTTTGGGTATTATATTATTATTATTATTTATGATATATWTTAAATATTTTTTAATAWTGTATATAAAATATGTTTTWTTTTTGTTGAATAAAATTCTAACTTTAAATTCTCTCTCTCTCTCTCTCTCTTTTRTAGACAATGTCATRTCTRATGACAGCACCAATTGTCTTAAAAATCCAAAGAAATGTGTTGAAGAYTGTAAACAAAAAGRTTATAAAACWGGTGTTTGTTTTGGGTTTACCGGTTTTACCTGYAGGTGCTGTGTTACACAAGATTGTCGATTTAAAAWATAATATTAATATTATTATTGTATAATATATTGAACTGTAAACTATTATAAAATGTTGTTCAAAGTGTATTAGTTTTTATGATTATTAAAATTCTAATAAAAAAAATATTGATATAATTAATAAATTTATTTTTTTTAAAAAGTAATAAAAATTTAAATATCAATATAAGTCATATACAGTTTATAAAATCTATAATAAATATGTATATTTTCTAAATAATTTTTTTTGCTATTTATTTTAAATATTTTCTTAATATAAATAAAAGATGATTATATAAATATATTTATACTAAAAATTTATTTAGCAATTTCAAAATATCTATGAAGATAGTATAATATTTTTTTRAGTAAMATTTTTATTTTWAAAACATTTATTT